GAATTCCTAATTAAGGATATTTTTGACCGTGAGACATACTATTTTGCATTAAAAACGTGCATTTGAATAATGTTATTTAGAAAAAAGAAAGTGCGATATTTCCTTTTGCATTATTTTACATTTCTTTTGCAATTTGCATTTATCGCCATCCTCAATTATTCGCGTCCTCAATATTCATGGAATGCAACTCCACCCAAATCAATTTCTTCTCCTACGTTCATGTTTGTATGAATATGCGTGCGTAGTTAAATTCCTTTAGAATATAAAATTATGATCATTCGAGGTATGTGTTGACGATACGGAAATATTGGATAAATTGATATGATTAATCTTAACTGAAATCTTGGTATCGCAACTAGTGACTAGCAACTGAATCGATCAATTATAGATAATATCAGCGCATAATTGCAAGTATAAATATATATTGTATCATTCACACATACTGAAAAAAACTAAAAATGTGACAACTTTATATAGGAGTTCTTATAGAAAAATCACCAGATATCTTTACTAGAGGATACATTTAAAAAAACTCGGATTAACAAAAATCTGAAAGTGCGTATTCGCACATACGTGTGCGTATTGTATTATTTCGAGAAAACTAATGTATTGACTGGCGCAAAGATCACATTCTCTAGATTATAACGTTAATAACATTGCGGTTCACGAACGTTCGTACGAGCTCGCAAATGGCTCTCCATTACAAATATTTTCAGAGAGAGAGAGAGCCGATCTCACTGGCCCTCATAATGAAATCACTAGAGGAAAATCTGTCGGCTGGTCTAAATGAATTCGCATGCGATTCATTACTTTGTGATTCCGCCTGATATCTCTGTTATTCTAACTTTGTGCTCACACGAGTATAAACATGGAACATTTTCAAAAAAATTGGTAGAGAATAGTTTCAATTATTAAAATTCATCATCCGCGTAAAAGAGGAGAGCTCTGCTTTGCCTTGTTAATGTAATGTCAACTCACATAAATGTGACGTTCAACGCTAATTTTCTAATCAGATAAACTGTTTATCATGAATAAATAAATAAAAAATAATTTCCTTTTCGCGCCAATTCTTCAGATAAGCGTTTGTCGATTATTTTATTTTTATTTCTACATAGATACATTTATTTAAAACGATTCATCTCTCCTTCTTCTTCTCTCATAAATAATTACTCCATTATTTAAGAATTCAAATATATTAAATTAGATAAATTAGATTAAATATATTAAATTAGATTATTTCAAATATATTAAATTAGATCATCTTCCCTATTCGTTTAATTATATTATTTATCTAACTTTCTAAGTAACGGAAGCTTCTCAAACTTTTCTATAAAATGACACCCTACAAATTGGCTCGTTTTCACATCTAGTAGCGGAGTTTTCCGGTGATACATCGTTGCCCGATGTAACAGAGCGCTTTTAAATTTGCATACGCCGACGTCCCCAGGCCATTAAACGTCCATGTAAAGTTAGTAGTGCCCTTCTTCTGCGCACGACATCGTGCACGCGCGCGTTCTTCGCGCGCGTGAGCCGCTTCATCGTATCCTCGAGCTATGATCACCTTAACGTATGTGCGCGAATTTATACGTTTCGCAGCATGTCGGTGGTATCTCGCTCGCGTGTACGTATCAGAACTGTATCTGGGTAAGAGGCCTCCGATGGCCTCGAGTAATAAACGCGAATATCATGGTGTCGTTGCGAACGACGTCTTCGCGACTTGCATCACCTTCTTCCCCGCATCTCTCATCCCCTACTTCGCCTCCTTTCTAATTTGACGTTCGAGAGGCGACGACGTTGCATCTTCACGCCTGGCTTTCGATGCCTTTGCGACGTCGGACGCGTGCCTATCTGGAGAGATTGCTGGTTAAAGCTTGGAGTTTCTCCTCTTTTGCACGATCCACTTTGTATACAGTTGTCATTCAACGGATATATTGGAGTTTTTTGGCCCGCCAATGCTCTTGCACAGAATTATAGTTTGAATCTACTATTGATTTCCCATGATTGAAGGATAACTTTAGATACAATTCTCAGAAATGCATTAAAAAAAATACTTTGTAATGATTGTGATTTATACGTGAAAACTTTTATATCAAAAATAAAAGAATTTCGATTGCAATTGCGAATAAATGATAAAATTTTCTTTCTTGATTTAGATCGAATTTTATTTCTCGTTTCGAGTGAATTTTTCATCATTTGTTTTATAAAATTGTTCACCGTGCGTTTATTATGCAATAATAATTTTTATTGCGTATCGAGCCTCTACTGGAACGGAGATGTTTATCGCAAATCGCTTGAGGATTACTGGAATATCGTCGTACGTGTAAAGCCAATTTATTAACGAAGAAGTCGTATTGGTACACGAGCAGTTGTGTAGATAATACACAATAATTATGTATTCTCTGTCTCTCCCTACTTATCTTTATCTCGTTGGCGCACGCATACGGATGTATGCACGTAATAAAACTACCTGCGTACAAGATACAATTGGCTCGAGGCATCGCCACGTCGCGGTAGACATTATTGCGGATATCATTACGACATTCGCGTCCTGGGTTCCATATTCCGGGATTTCTTTTCCAAATTCTAAAAAAGTCTTGATGCATTCGCGGGCAGAGAAGTAGCACGTTCGATTCAAATGAGAGAGCGCAATTTAAACCTTATCACTATAGAGAATAGCAACGTATCGAGTTATTTAAATTATTTCTATAAGCGCAAATAGTAATTTCTATTTTGAATTAATTATTGATTTTACGCATGCAATTACGCATAATATTAATCGCCGAGCGGCCTCAGTACATCGACCGTAATGTACATTCGTATACCAACCAATCGCCCTGAAGCAACCCGAACGACCATGATGATCATCTATTGTTATAGCTGTATCGTTCTTCGGATTCTTCTTTCGTCGGCGCTGCCGGTCATTTTAACGCTATATCACAAGCACACCTGATAACCGCTAATAAGGTCATTTAATAAAGTATCCTATTTTTGCTGTGCCCTCATCAGTGTCAAAATTACTTTCTCTTTCCCGCCTGCACATTTCTCTTTTCACACCATCGATAAAACGATATAAAAGACAGAAAAATTGAATAAAAACTTGACTACGACGTCAAGTTTGAAAGAAGGGAAGACGTTGCGTAATAAAATAATTAATGATACGATATTATTTTCCCCGTTTAATCGAACGACGACGAGTGATTTTTCATCTCGCCCACATCTGGCATTCAAGCGTACTTTCAAACACGGGGAATATGATTGAAGTGCCGTCAAAACTCATTAATTTCGCCGCTGGTGTATTTCGCCGTCAGTGCGCAGCCATTCCGGCGACACGTGTTACCGCGCGACAATGATCGATCTCTCATCGACGCTCAAAGATCGCAACAATAACGCGAGTTAATTATGCAAGTATGCGTCTCTCTGTACTCGTAAATGCATAGCCCTACATAAATCTCGCGATTAGCCCGCGGCGTCAGCGCGGCCGTGATGGCCGTTGTTGTCCTCTCTCTCTCTCTTTCGTTCCCTCTCGTCCGCGCCATCTCTCCCGCTCTATTCCTTAATCCGATGTCCGACTTGCGACGACCGTCGTTCCCCACCTTTTCAGGTAGAGAAGCATCGGCGACCTCTCGCAGCGCGCGGCCGAGAAAAGGCGCTGCATCGCATTTCGCGGCATCTCCCGCGGCGATGCACCGCAATGGTGCGGACTGATGTGGGCGAGGGTGGGTGGTAGATGGACGAGAGAACCGGTACCCCTCCCTCCCTCCTCTTCTTGTTCTCCCGCGTGTACCCTGTCTTCTCTGACCGTCGCGAATTCTTCGCCGGACGATGGAAAACAAGTCGCTGAGGCGACCATAAACGCGTCTCTCCCTCCCTGCCTTCTTGCGTTCCCGCGATTATCTCGAGGGATTTCAGGGCGAAACGCCGCAATTTTTCAATCAATTTCGTAACGTTGACTTTCTAGATTTATTCTCCCAGGCGCATTAATTTGATCACATCAATATGATCACATTTTTAGTATTTTTTTTATTACATGTATATTTATATTTATATTTTAAAGCCGAGTTTCAGGAGAATATCTTTCAGGTGCCTTCAAGAATAATAATTTTGCGATAAAATTACAGAAATCTTTTGAATATGATTTTATTATTTTCTTATTGGTTTTATGTTCAAGCAAGAAAATTAATGCCCTAAAAACCATTATAGAAGCTATGAAAAGCAGGCTTTAGGATAATGGCTAATAATGAGCTGGCTTTTCACGAGCATATAGTAATGAAAATTCGGGTACCTCTAACATTCGCGGACCAAACCGACCCTCCCTTTCTGCTGGAAACACGTTTAAAAGAATACCCTTGGACGGCTAGCATGCTAACGCCCGCCAAATATTGTTTCGCCGCTAATTGCCTTATTAATGCATACGGGAATTTCACGTTAATGTTCCAAGCCCTCAGTCGTTTCAGCATTCCCGATATTGGACCAAAAACAATGGATCGCTAAATTAGTATTATCGTCATCTGAAAGCGGCCGTGATCGATACGCTAAATCGACACCTACACGTTACGTAGATGAAACGCATAAGCACCGAACATTGATAAAAAAGAAAATAAAAAGAGTTAAATTTTAATAATTGTTAATAATTCATTACACAAAATTTTTATTTAATTGGATAAGTAAATTAATATTTTAAATAATTGTAAAAAATAATAAAGTTTCATAGAAACAAAAAATGGATACTGCACTTGAAATAATTTTTATCGTGCTGTATATATTATTGAATACAAAAATTTGTTATCTACAATGATAATTGAAATTAAAATATGATATTGATGCAAAAATATAGTAATGCATAAAGAATGGACACGTCATAAATTATGTAATCATGCAAATGTAAGCATATATATGTCTATCTCAATTTCTCGTGCATTTTAAATTCAATACACTGTTACATTTATGTGAATTTTTATTAGCAATGCATATAAATAACGTTTACGTATTTTTAATTCCAGACGGAAATGTGAGGCCGATGGGAAGGAGGCGAAGGCAGAGTTGACGGCGCAACGCAATATGTTCCCTAGCGCTCAAATTAAAATGAGGTAAATAAGTCTTCCTTCGAGTGTTCCAATTTAAGTTTACGAGTCGTTTTAGAATAAAATCTATCTGAGAAAGAGTTAAATAACATGACTCTCAATGAAATTCTCTCTACAAATGTCACTTAATTTCATTCAATGCATAAGTCATAAATAACATCCACGATTTTATAGCTCATTTTTATTTCATATTAACTTTTTATTTTAAGTTATATTTATTATTGAATGTAACATTAAAATTACAATTTGAAAAAGATTTGAGCGACCGATTTAATTTAAGTGTACAAATAATATAGTGCGTTCAAAATCTCAACTTGCATCATAAAACTCCAATTAATAATTCATAAATTTAAAGTTATGAATTGCTGAGAACTTGTAATAACACGAAATTGGAAATTTTGCGAATTTGTGATCTTCATCCATTCGTGAGTCTGGCATGAAAATCACACGATACAAGATCTCAAAAAAACTAGCCAAAGTCTTATACACAATTTTATGATGCTTAATATGAAAAGTATCTTCCTCAGATTGCTGTCGCCAAGCAGTTCGCCGGCCACCTCGCCCACAATGTCGAATTCCTCGTCGCCAACACCACCGACACCGGCGGCCCCGACTTACAACCAGAAGATGGCCGGTATTCCTTGTGTGGCGGCCGCTTCGAGGTACACCGCACCGGTTCACATCGACGTCGGTGGCACGATATACACATCCTCCCTCGAGACTTTAACAAAGTAAGAGAATGTACCTTAAATTCTTAATGATACAAGATGGGCCGAAAACAAAACGGTCCTGTTATCGAAGCAATACGTATTATAAGCGCCTAATTTGTATCGTTAAGTCGTGTTAAACGATTTAACGATATTTCACAAAGTTAATTTATTTTTTATATTTGCACATTATATATTTCGGGAAAGAAAAAGAATATTGCTTGGAGATTTATACGTGTTCGCGAAAGGACATTATCTCCGATGTAACAAGGGAAAGAGATAAAGCAACGGGACTGGATCAATCCTTTGGAGGATGCATCCTACCGCGAAAGCACGCGGAGTGTGACTTTTAAACGGCATGAAGAGATTCTAACGAGTGAGAGAGTAGAAAGGGAGCGTGATGTCCGGATCGCGGAAACGTGACCATCGACAACGCTCCAGGATGTTCGTACCGAGCAATATCTCTGAGAACATATCGCTCGCAATCAGGCACACCGTTACCGTGCCCGGCAATGTCCAAAGGCTATTTGCGGTTTGCCCGTGCACTTTATGCATAAAAGAGACGTAACGTGAAAGCACAACTGCACTTTGCTTATAGAGGGGCTTTTAATCTCCTCGAAGTATCACCCTGCAGGTATCCTCTTTGCTCGGACGAAAGAAAAAAAATTCACGAGTATTATACTCTTCACGAGGTTCCACAACTGATATATAAAATAATATTTCTTATAATCAGAAGATGATTCATTTGCAATGCACACAAATCTAATAATAATAAATAAAATTGGATTTTACAATCGTAATATATATACAGATTATATATTATACTCCACATAATTCAAACTAATGTATAAAGTAATACTTTTTACAATCACAAGATATTTCATTTATCATAAATAAATTTAATAATATACAAATAAATATAATTGAATTCAAATTAAAATCATACAGGATAGTCGTAAAAATCGAAACCAAATTTTTATAATGTTAATAAAATTAAATAAAAAAGGTAAAAAAGTGTAAACCTATGTTTAAAACTTTATTAAAGAATTATAAACTTTCAAAAATAAACGTTCTTCATTAGAATCTTAAACTATATTAGAATCATTTATTTGAAGAAATAATTTATTTATTAAGATATAATTTATTTAAATAAATAAATCTCAGTTATTGTTTATATGTTTATGGTCTTTTATCACGTGTTTTTATTTTTGTTAGACTTTGATTTGTTCAATAGAATTTTGATGTTTGAGTCGTGATTTCAGTTTTGCAATTACAATAAACAACTAACTTTTTTTAATTATGTGATAAGCAAACATGTCAGATTTCAGCTAACAAATTATAAAAACGATTTCATTTATTTTTTAATAAAACGCTTACAATTTTTTAATAAATATTTTCGAACGTAAGTTTACTTTTTTTCATTATTATATAAAAAAATATAAATTTAAATATGTTGTGTGTTTGCACAATATGTCAAACTTTCATATCGATACGGTGTATAGCAGTGCGTCACATAACAATTACAAAACATGATAATGTTTCATTTAAATTGCTAAATGTCACCATAGCCTCGTGATCTTCGTATTTCGAGCGATGCTTGTTATACGAACCTAATATGCATCTTCAATGTGAATGAATATCCAGCGCGCTTAGTGGCAAGGAAAATCGATCCTTTCACAAGGAGATCACGAACGCATAGCGTTAGACTGCAGCATACATAAATACAGTATCAGTAGACCGATGCATCCGTGAGAAAGCTAATCATAATTGACAGGTGGCCTTATCGTTCCCCGGTCTCGTTAACTGAATAAGCAAAGAGCTTTGCAAAGATGTTTCTATCTAGACTATCTGTAATGAATGAGCAAGAAAACCGTAATAGATACCTTCGTGCTTCTCGGTACCGGAATCGAGCTCTCTTGTCAAATGAGGGCACAGAAAAGTAAGCTAGAAAGTAACAAAAATAATCTTATATATTTTGTCTTGAAAATATATAGATTAAAATCGAACTTAAAATTAAATCTTATTAAATTAATTTAAATCTTGACTAAATCAATGGTAATAAAAATAATAAGGAGGTATCATCATGTGGTACGACACACTCGTTATTTAAAAAATTATTTTTCTCACACTTTTCTAAGTTTCAGATATCAAATTAGCAAAGAGATCTTACATTAAAATAGTTTCATCAAAAATTAAAGAAGGGGGAAAGTAAAGAATAATAATATTGATCTGTGATAAATATATGAAAGTCTTACTTTTGTTTCCACAATCATCGCTCAGGCGCGTGTTTATCGAGATGACGGATATTATTTATTATTCATGTTATTTATTTACATCTAGAAAAAATAGTTGAAAATCATCGGGGATCAGCGCGCAACGAAACTAAGCTAAAACTAACAGCACACTAGAGGCAAATTTACACGCGATGCACGGATTATCGTTAGATGAGTTAGTGGAGCGCAGGTCCGTTTTCCTATGAACCGTTACGGTGTGCATCGCTAGTCATGATTTAATCTGTAGAAACGTCGGAATAAGTGTCGCCGGCGTGTCGAACATGAGCGCAAAATGAATATCACGTAGAATCGCGACGACTTGTCCACCCGCCATCTCTATCGTATCACGCTTGAGTTGCATCGTCCTCCCTCATTATATGACTTTATTATTTTGTCGAAAGTATCGATTGCATCGTGCGTGGCAAATGCGTATAAATTGCACAGATATAATAGATTCAGATTAGCGGGAAAGCAACGGTATTTTCTTAGGAAAAATACATTATCATTCGATAATGTATTTTTCCTTAGAAATAAGTGGATCACAAAATCGAAGAAGAAATTTGATTTTCAATACCGATATGATACAAAGCCGTGTATCTTTGTTCAAGATTTAATTTGAAAATATTTTAATTGTCTTCCGTTTATTCGACACTTAAGGGTGTTTTGTACCTATTTTCAAAATATTGAGAATTTAATGAAAATTGTAGAGAATGTCCTTCCATATGTTTAGAATCTTCAGTAGAATTTTTAAATCGACTTACTAAAGCGTTCTCACAAGTTATAAGGATTTTAATTTGCACCGAATTAACATGTGTTCTTATGGGAAACGTATAACCACGTCGATTCAAATGACAAAAACACATGGAAATAATATTCAGAATTTGTTTAAAATTTACAAAAGTTTAGATACAGAGGAATATTTGGTCAAATAATATTATACAAGTACTAACTGGTTAAAAAGATATTAAATATAATTTAACGAAGTTAGTCATATATCTGTTACAAGGCGAAATTCTCTGCCCAAAGTTAATCATTTCGATTAACAAAATTCGGAATATTTCAGTAAAAACGTAATAAATATTAAAAAATCTGCACTGTAGCGAAGATCAAATTGTAATATTCCACACAACATTTCTTACTCAAAATACATCAAAAAGTGGATATTTATCAATACTGATTTTCAGCTATTTTTTGCTGGAATTGTACATACAAAACATCTTTAAATTCGAATTCTACAAAAAATTCAATTAATGAAATATATAAAATTCGAACAATTATTACTTTCTCTTAAGCAAATCGGAAAAATATGCAATTAGGAAAATGACAGTACACGTTCTGTCATTGTTTTATATTCGTAATGATATCATCAGATTATTACAGGAGTAATATTGAAGATTATCATTCTCGACAAAATAGATCTGCAATGTATTTCATCCATGTTTGGTGATCATTGTATTATACTGCTCGTCCATTAGCTTGGGTATAATTATCTCGTAATGAAATAAGCGCGTCAATTAGATAATTTGCTCTCATATTAAAATCGTGCTAAGAGAGAGAAAGAGAGAGAAAATGCTATATGTTTCGCATATCGTGGCGTTGCAACTCATGCAATTGACTTATAGCGGTTAAATCATTGCAATCGCCTAACGGCATTGACGCAGTTCGTACTTAGGATAATCATTTCTAGCATCGGGACTCGTGCCGATATTTATGCGTGCCAACTAATGTGCCAGCTAACGATGCTCTAGAAACATGTGACAAGAAGATAACAATAATAACTATGATACGAAACGATCGCCGGAGAGATATCCTCGGGCTAAAGCAATAATGCATTTCGAGAAAAGGCGCAATGATTGAATAAAGTGATAAATATGCAACATATTATGTATAAAATATTTATCTTATAATGAAATAATTGAAAGAGTATATAAAGAAAATAAAAAAATAATGGGATTAATTGTTTACAAAAACAATATAGCAATAATAAATTAATTTAAAATTTTGAAAACATTCAAAATATGGAAAATGAGAATTAAAATGAGAAAATTATATAAGATATCCATCAAGAATGTACGTATTTTAACTTTTGTGTCTTCCTAAATGAAAACACTCTCACTTTGTGAGAAATATTATAATCAAGAATATTTCTTGAAATAAAAAAATAAAATCTTGATTATTGTTAATAGAAAAATGTTGCTTGATTAAAAAATAAAATATCACTTAAATACAATTTACATCAAGAATATAGAAGGGTAAAACGCGGCGTGTAAGTAATTAAATATTCACGATTGGTTTGCATTAATTAAACGTGATAGATTGAATAGTTGTGCGAATAGTTTCCTATTAGACCGAGCATATTTAGGTGCCTTGTTTATACCGTACGACGTTATAGTGAAGCAAACAGGTCAATATAATGTGTATGGATCATAAATTCATACCTCTGATTAATTTAGTTCAATCATCGGTGTATAATCGGCAATTTCAATTCCAAAATAACGCTAAACGTTTATTATACCGTAGCAACCAACCTAGCGCGATGTTAATTAGCAAATGTCTATTTATGCGATATAATTCTCTGATTTATACGCCAAAAATATAATACTCACTTAATACAATTCTCTTGTGAATATGCAGAATAAAAAAAAACGAAAATTTGTATGCCGCTGTATTACATATTATACAATATATTAAACAATTAGTACAATGACGTTGATTTTTCATATAATTACATTACTAATGTATTTTCTTAGTTATTATTTTTTCAATACTACAATCAATCTGTAATTAATTATTTTAATTAAATTATATTAGCGAAACAAATTAATTATCTGTTTGCAAATTAATATTAATATATATATATATATATATATATATATATATATAAATTAATATTAATTGTCAATTGATTGTCAATTAATTGTCAATAATTAATATTAAATACGAGATAGAATCATATTTGTAATGTTACAATTTTTTTACATGGATTATAATATTGTGAAAATTTTATTAACATGAAAACAATTATTAATATTGATATTTATTATTTATAAATAAAATATTCTTCATAAAATTACAATCAAGAATTTTCTTGATAATTATTTTTATATATTTCATTGTGTAAAATTCTTAATTCTATGTTATTAATAATATTGATCAAAGATAAATTATCGCGAAATTCCCGTGTCTTGTAGAAGATTAATCGTTTTGTATCGACATTTTCTACCAAGCGTTTACAGAAATGACGTAATAGCCGATCATTAGTCCACGCTTCCGGTATCACATAATCCCTAAAACATCGTCGATCATCCTGCTGGTCGACGAGGCCTCATAAGGCCTCGAGGGTATCCTATGGTGAAGTACTAAGTCGTCATTTCCGCACCCTCTAGTCCGACACGTATAATTTAGCGGGATCTAACGGAATGTCTTGACGGACGTGTCTCGTTCTCAAGCTCACACGTATGTCCTGAATATACAACGACGAGCTACACACGAGTGTTCATTTTACCTAAAACATTTCTCCTACGTAAGATTATCATACAAAACGATGAGAATAAAGGTTTTTTTTGTCGAGCAAAAATTTTTCTTATTCGTCAAAAATAACAATATTATATAGATCCATGGAACAAGAATTAAAAATATAATAAAAGAGAAAAATTTCTTTCTTTATAATATAAATTTCTTAATTGATTGAACATTTTCATAAATACACGTTTTAAAATTTCGTTAAAACAAAATCTGTAGTTATCATCTACCAAACTGCTAAACAGGAGTTGACATTTTCTTGCTTTTTCGCTACAGATTTGTATATTAATTTATTATTAATTAAGTGAATATTTATAGAATTGGGCATGAAATATTTTCAAAAAAATATCGATCTGAAAATTATCAAGAAATTTGATAAAGGATGCGCAACTTTGGATACATCGTGTATATAAAACAGAGCGGAATCTGAGTGATGTGAGCCGATCGTTTAACGTTTTCCCATAGCGAACGGATCTGACCCGGGATCGGACCTCGGTTGGTCGGTGAGCTCAAGAAATCGCCGCGGGTAATCACGGTACTCGTTCTCCGCCCCTGGTACCGTTTCCTCCCCCGCTATCACCCCTCTTCGGTCGCCTCGACCTCCACAAACATCGCTGGCCCTTGGCCTAGCGCGTCTCCTTCACGCTTGTCGAGACATAGTGGCATCACTTTCGCACTTTCTCTTTTATTTTCTGTTTCTTAACGCGGATTACGTAAGTTCCTTCCCCCTTGTCTATTCTCCATTTTCATTTCTATTAGCACGCTTATTACGTCTTTGTCTGTAGAACTAAAAATTACAACGTGAAGGATTGGAGAATCAGAATGACTAGAATTAATTCTAAAATGAAAAAATTAAATTTTGATTAACTTATTTCAATTTTTTACAACTTATTTAAAAAATCTATTATTGCATTAAACGCATCAATTAAACATAAAAGGAGTTTATCGATTGCGCTTTAGATGAAAGAAATTATTAAAAGGAAAAAAAATATGATATCCATTTAAATAGAAAGTATGTCATTTTCATATCTTCACTGACCGAAATTATAGTGTGAATTTTAACATACCTGCGGCAATCCCGAAGAAAAGGAACGGGTTTGCACATCGAGGAAGAGTGAAGTTTCCCTTACAACAACTCGTTTCGATATTCTATGGAAAATTAACTATACCGTATAAAATTTCGCGCAGGCTTTGAGGTAAAATCCAGCGATTTTCATTTCTCTATCATGACAACGTTGCAATTCTCTCTCTCTCTTTTTTTCTCTCTCTCTCTTTCTTTCTCTCTCTTTCTCTCTCTGCTTTTGGGCCAAGGTAGGTAGATACCCAGTGGGAAGTTGATAGAAAGCGAGATCGCGAAAGAGAGAAAGAGAGAGAAACTCGCGAAGAATGAAAAAGGGGAGAGAGAAAGAGAGAGAGGGAGAGAGCCACTATATCTGTATATGTATATACACCTTCGTATCTACCCCGCGGTATCTTCTCTTCTCTCTTCCTCGCTAAAGTCAGATCGCCCACAGGCTCCACGAGCCCGACGTTATTATATGTTATCGCCGTGGAAGGTATGGGAACCGGCCCGAGGGGGTACCGAGTACCTATACCTCGGTATTTCCCCCTCGTTGTACCATAACGCACCGACGAGAGATACGCGGGGAGGAGGAGAACCAATTCTTCCTCTCACGTCCCTTCACAGTCCTCAGAGTCACCCGCGTACCTTCTATCCATCCTCTTCCCCACGTTTGCCCTTTCTTTTCTTTTATCCCGTCCTTTTCCCAGAGCACTCGTCTATTATATGCTAAATTACGATGACCTTCGGCTATCCACGCAGGGCACGGCACTATCCGTGAGTACACGCGGAGCAAACGCGTGCGTGAAGCTGATTGACATGGATTTCACGAGAGCGATTCGTTTCAATGCTCGAGGTCGTAACATTATTAACCTTTGTTACATGGTATTGAGCCCGTGGTATTGAGCAAACCAAGAATTTTCGAATTTTTACATTATTAACTTTACATCAAGGAAATTTTTATCTTACATAAAATTACTTTCAAGTATATTATCGTCGAAATAAGAAATTTATCAATCTTTGTTACAGTGCACGTAAATAATGCATAATAAAAAGTACAATCTTAGAAAACTAAAATAAGATATTTGATACAAAATTGATTTATTATTATGAAGCTGATAGAAAAGAATTGAGAAATACATCTAGAGAATGTACATTTTAATAAATTGCAAATGAGAGATCTGATGCAGATTTCTCATGTGTTTTTTTCATAATATGATTGATAATAAGATGTCTTTGGATAATTAAATTAAATTTATTTAATTTATCTTTCTGTACGGATGAATAAGAATTTTTGTATTAGTTTCTTTGCTTGAATTTAAAGTGAGATAAAAAAAGCGCGTAATAAAATGTGACATTAATCTCAATATTTTAGGATATAATTTCGAAGTACCATAGGTATCTTAAAGGTATCTTAAAGGTACTGAGATATATAATAAAAAAATTAGTTGCAGCCTACTTTGAAATTGTGTTCGCAAAAGTGTGCTGTAAAATGCGCTCAAAAATGTTACGGCATTTTCTAAAGAAGCCGAAAAAAGTGACACGATGCAATGAACCCGTCGTTATAGGACACACTCGTGTGCATTTGCATATTTACTGAAGCATTTTGTACGCATGTTCTTATTCTAAGCTTTTACAAAGTAAACGAATCTGTTGTTGTATCCTCACTCATGCGTAACAATTTTTGATAGAATTCTGCATATTTTTTTTCTTTCGTTATATTCTCTGCTAATAATAAACAGTTCTTTTAATTAAATTGTATTAAACAGAATTCTTTCAGTAAATAATTTTAGCTAATGGATTTTATTAATAATTTAATTTTACTCTCTATCCGAAGAAATGTTATTTTTATCATATTCTTCTTGTTTTAACTATACAGATTAAAGAAGAATATATTATATATTATAAATATAAATATATAATTTAAATTATAAATATATAATTTAAAACATTAAAAGTTCCGCATCTAAAATGATATGATACATTTTACTCGATTTTTCGTAATGATTATAATATTACATAATTGTGTATGCTAAGTTTTACTAATTTAAGTAACGTGCGCACGCGCTGTGTCGAAATTTATTCAATGAACAGCTGCTTGTACGAGCCATCATTTGAAGCTACATGCTACCTGAAGCGATTTCGGCAGGTGACCAAAGTATCAGCACCTGCCAACACTCAGTTAACTGCTGGTCGATAGAAAACGCAATTCTCACGTCGTTGAATACGGGATGCAAATATCTATACTATTGAATTCCGTTTGAATATTACAATATTTTATCTTTAGAGATATTATGATAATGTATTAATCTATTCAAAATTTGCATAAATCTTTAAGACTTTCTCGAGCGCACCTCTGGATACCAATATGTATGTGTGTCATGATTGATGCTTATAAGCTGTAAAAAATTGCAACTTTCACATATGATAATTTTATTTAAAAAAATTTTGTAATTTCAGGTATCCGGAATCTAGACTTGCGAAATTATTTAATGGCAGCATCCCCATCGTTCTGGATTCGCTAAAACAACATTACTTTATCGATAGAGACGGCGGCATGTTCCGACACATACTCAATTTTATGCGAAATTCCCGGTTACTGATACCCGACAACTTTGCCGATCTCGATTTATTGCTAGAAGAAGCGCGATACTTCGATATTGCTCGTAAGTTAACTATTCAATTAATTGTTTTCTTCTTTCATTAATTTTAATTATTTATGACATCTAAAAATTTTTCATATTTTCATCTTTGAGAAGATTGCCTCTTTTTAATATATCAGAGTAGCATATTTTTATCTGTAACATATCATATGAAGAAAAAATCTCGGTCGTAAAATATTGAAAGAATTTTCATGAGTGACAAGAGATCACTCGAGTAAATTAATCGCGATATCGCATAGAGAGCAATATGTATATCATTTCTCTTCTAATTTTCTCGACCGACTTCCAACTGCGCAATACGTAGCTTTCTGTAATAGAAGTAAGTAATAACAAACTCTAAAGTAGTTGTTTACTGGATTACAGGAATAATACAAAACTTTGAATGCTATAAAAAGATAGAAATAAGGCAATGGAAATATGGAAATTGTTCCCTCAGGACAATATAATCAGCGTACACACTTCATTTCAATAAAAATCTGACTTTACGTAGACAATTTTCCAAAATACTTTTATAATTTACAAATATCTGTATATCCGAGAAATAAAATATTATTTGTATTATCAGAAAAGAAACATTGCAATCTTTAAATGAGTTACTTGTCAATATCGCTAAATTCTAAAAAATGATCCTGAAAGGATAACAATTCACCGCCATCTTCTTAAGACGATGCTCCTTGAACATAAATCCTGTCTCTCTTTCAGCGATGTGCAGGCAACTGGAACAGATGAAGAAAGAACGCATAAAAAACGGCTCGACGATGATGACGACGTCGTCGCCGAGTCCGCCGCCTTCCGGTCAGCTCGGTTCCGGTCGCGGCACCACCGCTTGCACCACCGGGCCTTGCAATCGCGATCCCGAGAAGATGCGCGGTAACGACGGCAATTGCAGCTACGAGTGCGTGGCGTTACACGTGAGTCCGGATCTGGGCGAGCGGGTGATGCTGTCGGGTGGACGAGCCCTCCTGGACGAGGTGTTCCCGGAGACGACGCAGGCGGTGATCGACGCGCGATCCGGCGTCGCCTGGCATCAGCAGGACGCCCGTCACGTAATCAGGTTTCCGCTCAACGGTTATTGCAAGCTTAACTCGGTCCAGGCGATCACCAGACTGCTGAACGCCGGCTTCCGGGTGATCGCGAGCAACGGCGGCGGCGTCGAGGGCCAGCAGTTCTCCGAGTACCTGTTCGTCAGGCAATCCGTCAACACCTGACGGAGCACGGCGCATCAGCGCAAAACGATCTCCAGATCGATCCGTTGCCTGCAGCGCGACTATGATCCAGAGTGAGTGCAACTGTCCAGGAGGATCTCTCAAGACTGCATCGCGGATAATATGGTGTTATTCTGAACAAAATACACACGGAGCATCTTCGAAGGCTGACAGTCGCAACCGCAGTTTGATGCCAAAAAATACGGTACGAAAGTCTTTGAAACGTATATTGAAGTTTCTCGACGCTTACGTCAAATATCTTGGACAATGAGGAAATATGTGCGCGAATAAGTTTCACGATTTACATTCATTTCAAAGCATTTTTATCAAACAAATGATCTCGTTTATGTGTACGTAAAAACGTTAGAAATATATGCAAAAATTATTTGCATGTATTTCCGACGTTCTGATCCGAGATGGCTGATACAGAAGATACTTAATCGATCACTTTAATCAATAAAATCGCCGATCACGTAAATAAAATCTATTACAATTTAATTATACTAATAAATTTGTAATATATAAATTTAATAATTTATATAAAATTAAAAATTAAAGAAACAGATACAATAGTAAATATAATAATAAATTGAGATAAATTGGAATGTTGTTATTTTGAAATAAATATTCAATAATTATCTGCAGTTGCGACGATTGCAAGGCGTTACAATAGCTATTCAATAAGCGCTTAGATGTGGTTTAGATAGATCGTTGTTGATTGATCGTGATAGAAATGTAAATTATTGCTCATATGTTTAAAAATAAATAATAATTAAGTGGACGTTATTTGAGTAGATATATTTTCCGTTAACGACGATCATACCATTGAATCACATCTAAAAAGCAATGACCAAACAGCGTATAGCAAGCCTATAATAATTGGCAACGATGTATCGTGTGATTCACAGCAAAGAGCCTAAGCCACACAATATATTAATCGTGTATACGCTATTCCATATACTTTTCTTTCGTTCATTGTGTAAAAATGCACGTCTCACTGAAATGAAATACATAGCCATAACGCAGCTTGAAAAAGTTAATCAACAATATGTCATACACTGTGTCTTTCGCACGCTTATAACGCTATTTAAGAATGAAATGCCTAATTATAAATGTCATCGTTCGTTCCTCGTGTTACGATCTGCGACTTGCGTTTGAGAATATCAGATGCGCCGATTTTTAACATTGTTATTATTTAATAAAGTGTATCTATATGTATTTAAATGCCATATTAATTACTGTAAATATCGCGAATAAACGTGTATATACATACGCATATATAGATATAAGTATGCTTATATATAAGTATGAATATACATATATTCTTAAAATCATTATTCATAATGTAAAGAGAAGTAAATAACGATACTACACATATTGATTATGTGTGTCGAAAGTCAACTAAATTAAGTTTTCATTGAGATAATATAATCTAATATAATCCAATAAATGGGAGAAGAGAGCTAAGGAATGAGAGAAAGATATTAAATCCTTTCGAGACATAAGCATCGACGAGAAATTATACATGTTCTTTAAAAAACGCGACATTTTCACGAAGAAAATTATAAGAAAAACCCGAACTATATAATTGCTAAGAAACCTTCTTATATAAGTATCATTCCACGCAATTAATCTAATAAAATGTTTATTTTACATTTCAGGAAAGTGCAGCGATCTTATTATTTCATACGCATCGATCTCCTCCAACATTTAAGAGAGATTAGTGAAATGTATGTTATTTTTATTTTTTGCAACACATAACGACGTGCGAGTCGTAGTTTGATTGCCACTATCTCTGTAGAAAAAATAGCAGTATCGTTAACGGCGAGTAATCTAGATTTTTCTCTAGAAAATAAAGAGACAATAATTTTGCTATTCGAGAAGCGAGTAAAAGTATAGACCGCGAAATTATTGTCACTCGCAATCAATTCTCGATTGCTATGGACGTTGCGTCGCGCCCGAAGCGAAAGAATTTTGCTCCGTACAATAAAATTATTAGTCAAACAAAATCGCTGGACGTAACATGGAAATCAGACAAATTTATTACAAGACAGTGAGTAAGATTCCTTCAATTCTTTACTTTTTTATCTTTTTCTTTAGTTCAATTATTCTTTGCACAATCCCGTGTAACAAATTTTTTTATTGTCCAACAAATGAAATCTCTTGAAATATGTCGATGCATAAATGTGAATTATTTAACACATCAATAACCGCGATCAGACTGCAAAAAGAGAAAAAGCGGAAAAGCTTCGCAATAAAAATAAATACTGAAAAAATACTTATTTAAAAAAATCACTCGTAAAGAGAGAGAGAATTGCAAATCTCTTTAAAATTAAAAATTAATTTTATATTAGCAAAATCACAGTCGACACATGAGAATATCCAAGATACTTTTATTTATGTACATGATTTTTGAGAATTTTTATGAATTTATTTCTAAAAATAAAATTATCAAATATATATTATCAAAATTGTATGCGTGTATATGTGTGTATGTACGATGATAATAGTTATAAAACGCAAGACATACGCAAGGCTATAAATAATGATACTGTTCAATCAATGTTTCAATTAATTGCATTATTATTTTCTATATAAAAATAAATACGTGTAAAGAGAAGAAGGATCGGTTGTCTCGGCCAATCTGATGATGATTATATAAGAACGAGAAACGCACACGGGAGAAGCGTAGCAAGAGAGCTCATTGGGACCGCGTTGATCACACGTAACCGCGGGAATAAGGGATAAAGCGCACAAACGTCGTGCCCTTGGGCCCCGTTTCCATGGTTACTATGAACTCAATATCCACGTCGCCCGAGGGTTTCACAGCCCGAGGCTGTCATCCCTCGAATCCACCCGGCGGAACGCTTTTCTCTCTCTCTCTCTCTCTCTCTCCTTCTCTTTCTCTCCCCCTTCCTTTCTCTCTCTGGCATTCCGCGCTTCCGTCTCCCTTTCTATCTGTCTCCTCCACGCCGGGCTGATTATATTCCATTTCTGGATCGTCCTGGTCACCTTGATGCCGGGTCCTTCGATAGACGACACGAAGCGGAATAGCCATCGGCTACGCGGAAGACAGGATATTCGAAATTCGAGGATATCCTCGGACAAAATCCTTTGTTGTCCCTATTAAAAATTGAGGCCAAGGCCAATATTTTATTATATTTTGCATTGGATTTAATTGTACGCTTTCTTTATCTTTACTCTCGTAGATGGTGCAAAAACAATTCAAATAAATTAAAGCAAAAATTACATTATTAGAAAATGAAATATCAAAGGATAATTATATAAGTATAGGTGCGAATTTGTTTGCAATTTTTTGAGATTTTCATTTTTAATACACTCAGTCATCCAGTCTCTTTTTCTCTATAAGCAATGATAAAATATATCTGCGATTCTTTTTTTATTCTATTTTAATCTGAAACAAATAATTATCATTATCGTCTTATATATAATTCTCTTCTACATGTCTTAAAAAAGTAAGTAATAAAATTTATTTAGTTCGGATTGAAACATCGTGGAAAAAGAATAAATTGCTCTAAAGCAATAACATTTCTTCTCTATTTTTTGATAATTAAAGTTATTGCATTTGATCAATTTATGTTAATAAAAGTCTGTCACAGTATGTCTTATTTAAGAGAGAAGAATACAATTATAAAATCATATAGAAAATTTATTTTATGTTTCTTTTCCTTAACATTGGTTTAATATATCTAAATAATTTTCTTTCCCATATTTAGCTATTTTGATTTTTGCTTTTGACAAAATAGTCTTTTTGAACTTTTATTATAATTTAAATAAAGTCAACTTTTTTGGCACTTTTAATCAGTCGTAACTTTTGATAAAAATACAATTATTTCTTTAAACGGAATGAATTAAATCATAATTTATTTATCCTTAAATAGAATAAAAAAATACGAAACGGACTAATGACTTTTTCTGAGAAAAAAAGTACAGGTAAGATCGAAAATGATTTTGAAAACTATTTCAAAAATTTCGAAAATTTTTATTTGCAAAGTCATTCTTATGTTTAGTTTATTAATACGACGTTTCGACCATATGGTTGTGGTCCTTATCAAGTATATACTGGAAAGATTTATAAATAAATTTAACAATTAATTTTCGGTTTGAATATTTTGCATAGCGAAAAGTATGTTCGAAAGAGAGAGATCGCTGAGATGTTCTTTATCAAGAGATTTAATAATCTAATCAACCTACAGAAAGACACGGATAGTTTAAACAACATTTATGACAAAATAATAAAGGTCACGTTTTTCCTCTGGTTGTATTTAGTTTCTTGACGAAGTCTCACACGGACGCATCAGTTTCTCTCAAATTCGAATCTAGTTAAATAACGTTTTTTTTGTTAATGTGACTTGTGCAAATTTGCAAGATTATCGTCTATGCCTGTCTCCTGATTATTATTACATCGGTAAAATTGTTCACACTTTATTTCGTTGTGCTTATTATATTATTCAAACCGAAAATTAATTGTTAAATTTATTTATAAATCTTTCCAGTATATAATTGATAAGGACCACAACCATATGGTCGAAACGTCATATTATTGAACTAAATTTCTGGCTAGTTTGGTCGACTACACTTTTTTCAACGATCCTTGGATTATTTGACTAGCGACATTAAGTTATTTTATAGTCATTCTTATGTCTTCAATATTTCTTTAGATATCTAATTCTTTAGATATCTAAAACAATTTTTTAAATTTAAAAAGAATTTTAATAATTTAATTTCAAATGTATTCTCTTCCTTAAATGGATATGCGAGATTATTTATTTCGTAAGCAATTAAAGATATAAAAAATTGTTTATATGGAAATTATGTTCTTTGAAAAATGATCTATATGATATGATTATTTATGATTTTTTTATTAGCTTTTTTATAAAGGAAAAAATTTTCAAATCAACTTTATAGTTTAAAATATATTATATTTTTAATTTTTAATGTGATAATAATGGTTGAAACAAGAGTTCAATAGTTTACTAAAAGATCATTAAAAATCATGAAAAATCGCGGAAGATTGTTTTTAAATTAATGAGATATTTTTATATTTATCAAATATTTCAACAATTGTTATATTAAGGATTTGTTCATTTTTAATTGCTTATGAAATAATTTTATATATCCATTTAAATCAGGCATACTGTGTGTATAATTACATTGATAATTATAATTATAAATTAACCTAAAATAAAATCAATTATTGACAAACTTTACTTGGAAATACGTAACAAATAATTATCATCAGTTATGATTAATAATATAATTATTGTTTTGATAATAGCAATAATAATTCTAATAATAAAGGTATAAGACTCGAAATATAAAATTAACAAATTAGTTTCAATAGCAATACGAGTCGAGCGTCGATGTTATGACACATTTATTTATTTATTGTACAATAAAAAGCATGAATTAAAAATAAAAATACAAAGAAGGAATAGCGAACGTTTCGACCCTATTTTTGGGTCATCTTCAGCGCAAATGTGATGGTGTGGTAAACATTCACTGTTCCTTCTTTTTATTTTTATTTTTATTTTTAATTCATGCTTTTTATTGTATAATAAATAAATAAATGTGTCACAACAATCGACTCGTATTGCTATCGAAACTAATTTGTTAATAATAATTCTGATACTATAATAAAATAAATTATGATTATAGATTCCTAAAAAATATATAATCAGAATAATATAATTAAAAGAAATAAAATACAAATTTTATACGATATATGTACATATATACATATACATATGTATGTGTGTGTGTGTGTGTATGGGCGCGTGCGCGCGTATGTATCTATGAGATATCGTAAGCAAGATGACAATATCGTAAGTGAGAAAACTTTCACACTTATATACATTGCATACAGAAATCCATTATCGAGATCTAATCAGAAAATTACATTCAAAGAGAACTACAGTTACACAGTAAATACAATTTTAAAAAAAAGTCAGTTGAAATTATAAAATTCTTCAATCGATTATTTTTTATCATTCGAACTTTTGCATGCTCTAGAAAAAATGCAACATAAACGTTTGATAAAAAAATATAAAAAAGGATAAAAGACACATATATTTTCTCTCTGTTTATATTATATATCTCTCTTTTTAATAGACGTTTTAATAACTAATGAAAGACACACACAAAAAGTCTAATTAGAAAATGAAGAAATATAGTTTATATTTCGAGAGATTCATTTTTATATTTTATTATCTTACGCTTGCTGTGTTTATTCAATACAATTTATAAAAATATCATAATGTACCACAAAATTGTGTAATGTACTGCTATACTTTTTATATATTCTTCTATTTATAGATATATATTAATATTTTACCTATTGGCAGTAAAGAGAACGTTATGATTTATGCGTGATTTTATGTTTTGCTTCGAATTCGTAAAAAATGATATAATAATTGCAAAGAGAAGAATGGTTAAGTGAAAACTTCTTATACGCGATATGCTCGACAAAGTAATATATAATAACGACTTGTACGTTTCTCAAATAAAATATACGGTTATTAAAAATGACTTATTTACACAAGATATACATTGTCATTATTTCTGTCACAACAAATGATTTGGATATTAATTAAACGAATTAAATAAACATTATATATAAATGTGCTTTAAATGCTGAATTCTCAATCATAATAACTCTTTCGAAAATAAATCAATCGCAATGACAGAAGAAATAATAAATATGAAATATTTTATTTATATATACGCATATGCACATGTACACCCACATACACACAGACATACACAGGATATGTATTAATGAAATGTTAAATGAGAAATTCTATTTAACACAATGATATTACTTTCTCAATTATGAAAATCTGTGGTGCAGAATTATCGTGCTATAACATCTTTAAAATTACGACAATTCATATATCTATCTTTCCTACACACTATATTCATTCAGTCTTTTTTTTACGTAAAACCAACTGAAAAGCAATTAAATATAGCATGTAATAATAATCAATATCATGTTAATTATAAATCAAATTATGATAATTGCATACATCCATTACTTATTCTGATTATTATCTGAAAGCTGAGAAACGTAATATTTCTTGGAATATATTGTTATAGAAATATAGGAAGTGTGCATGTGTATACGTGTGTGTGTGTGTGTGTGTTTATATACATTCTTTTTTACTGTGCCGTCTCTCTCTTAACCAAATTGGAAGCATAGAAATTGTAAGAATAATAAACGCTAACATTGATATAAATTATTTGGCATGGGGCATAAAATAGAAATATTATATAATGAAATAAATGTGCCATATAATCTTATAACACTCAATTGTGGATTAATAACAGAAGTGATACATCAATATAATACTTTAAGAGTACTTGAAATTAAATAATGTTGCTGTAATTACAATATACAAAACTTCTTAAAATAAAATATAAAATATTATATATTTTACGTTTCAATAAGAATATAATATTATAATTATTATATTAATTATTATATATATTTAAATATTATATATTTTAAATTTCAAAAAAATAGTAATTAAAATAATATAAAGTGAAAGATCTAGATAAAAATGTCCTCATAAAAATATCCTATGATATAAAATATATAAATTTTAATTTTATTTTATAAAACACAATTTTTAATAAAATTTATTAAAAAAGTGCTAGTTTATATTGCACAGATAATTTCATATTATATTGTAAATGTGAGAGATATGACACATGTAAGTGAGATACAAAGATTAATAATATGTCAAATATTATTAATCATAAGTATGCAATTTTTTTTTTCTTAATTGTGTTGAAAGAATATACTGTGCATACAGGATAGTATAAAATATTGATACAATAAAAGAATTAAAATCGATATTTTAAGCATTATCCTCTATGTATGATCTCAGGCACCCACGCATACATATTTATGGTTATTGTTTTTACATGTAAATCAGGTACTCACTTTGAATTTATTTTAATCAATTATGCAAAGCATAACTTCCTGTGGAAGCTTATCTTATCATTAGCAGAAGTCACGCATCAATTTCGAGAAGGAGTAATATAAATAATTAAATTAACATCACTCAAAAGAATATTGATTATTCTTATTTTTGTAAATATTTCTTTAATAAAAAACGTAACAGCTAATTTCTTATAAACACTGAAAATCGTAGATCGCAATATACAACATAATATACTGATAACAATTCCATTTTTCAGTGGAGAGTAGCTATATTGTGTTGTACCAACATTGAAATTATCATTATTTTGTAATTATATGTAAGATATTGTACAAATTATTCCATACTTTTTGGACAGTGTGCTCATGTATTATTATTACATTATACAGTTTGCAAAAATACGATTTACTATTATAACAAAACCTACTTATTTTACACTAGCGCTACAGTGTCCAAAAGTATAGGTCAAATATTACAATGTAGCGAGCCTATACATAGTGACAATGTACACTCATTCGCCTAATGCATCCGCGCATTCATGTATTCATTATATAACAATGTTTCTACAGTGTTATCTCGTTAAAAGATTATTGCTCGGGATCAATCGCTATCCTCTAACATGGGCGCAAACTTGTTTACCTTCCAGGAACTGTTCCATAAATCTTGCCAACGGCCGAACAATTCTGGACGAACGTGAGACAAGAATATGAGAGAACAAAATAGAGTACAAGAATTAAGTTTGCTCACTCGAAAAAGTGGGAGGAGAGAAGGGGAGAGATAACTCGCGTTATCGCATATAGCGTGGAGCGAAAAATCTTTTTTGTAACGAGGAAGCACTGTATTTAGCCATACACAACGTTCTCCCTTGCCACGAAGAGACTATATAGAGACTAATTGCGAAACATGTGCTCATACACATTGCTCCTTTCATTGATGCGATTTCGTGTTGAAAAATAAAGAACTATTATATTACATTTAAAAAACGTATACTACAGTTAAAAAATGTTCAGTCATTTACAATAAGGAAGCTTAGTATCGACACGGTGGAAATAATTTTAATTTGAATATATGTAGGGTTCTCCAAGCCGACTGCTAATGAATCTCATTGCAATATGCAATTCGCGATGAAACACTGTATATTACAGCATAAAGTAACGTCACGCGATCCATCGAGCCCAGCTCATAAAATATGCGGATAGAGCGCCAGGTTTCGGGCGGGTCACAAAAGTTCCTGCCCTTGACAGTGCATCACTTCAAGTACGATTTATACAATGTTGTGCTTCTACACGTTTCTTTTTCCTGTTCTAAAAGGAATAATAAATCCTTGAAATTCACTCTTTTTAAACGTGGTCTCATTGGCATTTGTCTATTTAATCCGCTAGCTGATGCGTTTGCGCCAGGAGTACCCCCTGTGCTGTTGGTCGATCCCGCTATGTCGAGCTTAGGCTTCTTGCGAGGGCCAATTGCTTGTAAAGCTGTTAAATTTGCTTCTCTTTGTCTTAATTCTTCCATTTCCGCGCGTTGCATCTGAAACATTTTATATATTTTAAATAAATTATTATTAAGAAGAATTGAAATAAACACATAATACATGTATATCAAATAAAGTTATTGCGCAAGAAAAATTATAGGTATTTATATATCACCTCTTTGGCTTTAGCCTTTAATTTGGCTTGCTCGGGATCTTCTGTTTTTGCGCGACTCTTTGCGGCACGTAAAAGTAATTCTCGTTCTTGTTCTTCATGTTTCCTACGCTCGACTTTATCTAAGTCTTCCAAAAATTTTAACTGCGCTCTTACATCTTGTGTTACTTCATATCTAGGATCGACCTAAAAACAATAAAAAAAAATATTGCAAAAACGGAGAGAAAAGATACAAAATGTTAATTTATATAAAAAAAATTATTTTAGTTTGTAATGAGATGCAAATTTCTATTTGAGATAAATAAGATAATCGATTTAAATATTACCTTTATAAGATCTATCCTATGTTCTGCAATAACTGCTAATTTTTCTACTAAATTCTTTAACCTCTCTTGTACAGCATGCGAAATTAATGCTGCTACTTCTTGATTTGGTTCTTCCAGATTATGACTGGATGCTAAAATAATATATTTTTATGTAGAGCTAACTATATATTTATATATTTATCATTTTATATTAATTTAATAATAATGATAAAACTAAAATTACCAATTTGTTTAATTCTTTGTTGTAATGGTGTCATATGCAAAAATATTTCATCTTTACAAGATCGTATTTGGGTACCAACAAATTCTGTAGAGCCAAGTATTCTTTGAGATTCTTCTGCAAGATTAACACCACCCATAGCTGCTACATCATTTATATCATCATCCGCCCTATGTAACAAAATACAACGATTACGTTATTATACGTTTATAATAATTACAATATAATAATTACAAAATAAATATAATAATTACAAAATGCATTATCTTTAAATTAATATTGGTTCATTATTGTTTCTTTATATTTTTTATTAGCTTATTAATAGCAATAATTGCTTTTTTACATTACTTTTAGAAAATAAAACTTACGTATATCCTGCTGATGAAAACGTTTTTTTCTCTTTTTCCTTTGCAGTCGGTTTTTGAACAAGAGAAGGCACTACGGCTTTATTAACAGTAGTGGTTGTATTGACTGTTTTGCCTTGTGTTGTAGTCGTGACCGTTTTTACAACCGTTGTTGTAACTATAGGTGGCTTCTGCACAACAGGAGCAGTGGGTCGAATTCCAGTTACTGGTACTGTCGATTTTACAGTATATGCTGCAGTAGGGCTACGAACAACTGTTGTTACTGGTCGAACCTAAAATAATATAATTTTTATTGTACATTTGAAACAAAAGATTGTAAATAAAAAAAAACTTGCATAAATTTTGAAAAACATTAAAATAATTAATTACGTTATTAAGAAGCTATAAAAAAAAGTTTACGTTATTAAGAAGCTATAAAAAGAAGTTTAATTAATATCAACTCATACTAAATTCTTGTAATTATTCAGGTCTATTATTTTTTTATTTTGGAATTTATAAAAAAATGCAAATTTCTGTTAGATATCTGATAATATTGTAATACACAGACATAATAAATATATACATTAATATTATAACAGATTATAAGATTATCTTACAAGTCTTTGTGGAACAGGTTGGGCAGGCCGTGGAACTGTTGTAACTACTGCTGCTGCTGCTGCTGCTGTTACTGCTGTTTGAAGTGGTGCCATTACTCTTACTTGTGTTGTAGCTGTTGCAGTTGCTGTTACAGGAACTGTTGCGGCTACTGTAGGTCTATATTGAGTTTGCTATAATACATAGTAAAATATAATTACAAGCTAGAAAGTGATATAAATGAGATGCAAAATCCTCTCTTTTCTCTATTACAATTACTATTATATTACATATTCTTTTAAAAATACTAAATTATATAGATATAAATATAGATTCTGATAACCTATAACAAATTAATATCTTAGAAAAGAACGATTTTAAAGAAATATATGCTCGATATCCTCTTCAAAAATCTATTTCTCTAGAAGATTTCTCTTTATAAATACCCAAAGTTTTTTCCAAAATTAATACTTTAGAAAAAATTATTACAGTTTGCATACCTCTTGCAGAATTAATAAAATTCATAATAGATAATTAATTTTACCTGTGTGATAGTTGGAATAACAGCTGAAGCTATGGAGAAAACAACATTGGCTGGAGGAGGTTTTATTCCTTCTATGGATAATTCTTTTGTGACAAGCGACTGCCGCAAAAGCGGCAGACTTTTCTTTAGAAATCCGATGAGACATGGTTGTGGCGAGGCATTTAATAATTTTTCAAGCCTATCACAAAACTCTTCTGGTTCAACTCTAGCATCGATCAGATCTTGTATCAAAGTTCGGACATTGCGTTCCACTGATTTAGGTTCTCGACTAGATAACTCTAATAAGTTTGCTAAGAATTTACGGCACTTTTCTTTGGTATTATCAATAGTTTGACGCTAAAAAAAGAAAAAAAATATTATTTAAATATACCATATAAAACATTATTACATAAATAATTATGTTATTTTAAATTTAATTTTATCAAACATACTGGTGCGGGTGTTTGAACTGTTTGAACAGTAGTAGCCGTTGGTGCAGAAGTAGTTGTAGGTGCTGTCGTCACTGTTCCTGGAGTTGTAGTAGATGTAGTAATAGTAGGAGCTACGGTCTGTAGCAATACATATGTAAAACATAATAATTATTTATATTTATTACAATAACTGCAAATATGCTTAAAAATGTATAGATATAAAATGTAGTTATAAAATGTGTACTTTTACAATATATAGAAATACTATCAAAATACTAAAGTGAGATGTGTTCTAAAAAAAATCCATAGAATATTATATAATACTTTTATATTTATATTTAAATATAAATAACAAGATATAAATTTCATGCAGAAATGATAATAATAAAATATAAATAACAAAAAAATAAATTTAAAAAATTAAATTAATTAAATAAATTAAAAAATAAATTAAAAATAAATAAGAAATCATAATATTAAAAGAAAAGTTTATATTATAAAAAATAAATCATTGAAAATCCTTGCAGCACATACATAACATTGTTTCTGCTCTCTCTTTTTCTTTTTTTCTCAATAATAATATATACAATTAATGTAACAATTAAAATAACATCAAATTAAATATTAATTTTATACATTCTATGATTAAAAAGAAAATAAAATAAATTTCCTAAAATTAAAAAAAAATTGAAAGCAGAATCAAAAATACAAAATTATTTTCTCGAATATAACGTTCAAACTATTTTCATTATTTATTGCATGCAACTAAGAGAATTTTGCTAAATTGTATGGTACTACATTTCTGATAAATTACAGACTGTATCTATTTTTTTACATGCATGCTAAAAATTAAAAATAAAAATAATCCTATGCAAAAATTTTAACTCACTGACTGTTAGAGAAAACTATAAGTATAATGTGTAAGTTTTTAATATATATATTTTTAATATATAAATTTTTAATATATAATGTAATTATCTAGATTAATAATTTATTTAAGTAAGTTCTTACATTTATACATAATAACTATAAATATAAACAATATTTAATACTGATTTAATACTGATACATAAAATAAAAAAATATAAATAAATATAAATAAATATTCGTCATTATATCTTTCAAATTCAAGAAAATATGATAACATTAACTTATTCATTACAATATATTTTATAGACGCACTTGTACCTTGTACAGACTCGTATTTTACAAATTTTTTTTATAATTGTATTTAATATTATAAAAAATGTATATTATTATTTAAAAATAATGCATAATAATAAATAATATTTATTAATCATTTTACTTTACTCTTTGCATTATACAGAGACCTCCCATCAAATTTTATATTCTACCTCAAAATTTTTTTTTAAACGTTTAAAAATAATGCGCACACACAATACTACTTTCTTAATCAATTATAATATTATATTGTTAATGTAAAGAATATGTGATAGTAATACAATTTTACCTTTTTATTGTTATTACTTCTATTTCAATTAGAAAAATAGACTTGTAGAAAGTAAACTTGAGTATTATACAAATTTGAGTAATGTAATTACACATGCGAATACTACAAGAATAAAGAAATAGTTTTAATAAATATATGTATAAAATTATAAAAAAAAGCAAAGAAGATGTATAAATATCCTCACACAATTATATACTCTTTTCTTAAAAGAATTTATTTAATCTATGTAATCTTCCTATACATAACACCTTTAACCAATTATTCATGCAATATATTTGATGCAAAGATTAAGAGATTTGATAAAGATATTGAATTTTAATGCATTTATTACACTCCATGAAACTCAAAACATACTACCAAAGAGAAATGCATCCCAAAAGTAAGCTAATAATGAGATGTTATCAATTATGCGATTTAAGTTTGTATAACATTTAGATCAAAGTGATATTGGTATTATAAATAATAAAATTTATCATAAAATTTTTCGCATTCAAAATATGTATTTAAGAACTTTAAGATCTACAAATATAATTTTTCTACATTTTCTATATGGTGTTTATAAAAATAATAATGTACTAAATATTTGCGAATAAAGCAAAAATAAAAAAATAAATAAAAAAACTAAATTTTTGTATCATAAATACTCAAATTTAAATGTGCCAGGTAAAAGATATAAATTGTAAACAAAATATATTGGTGTACTGATAACATCATTCCACAGAAAACAAAGTCACAAACTAAGAAGTCTCTACAGTAGCACTACATCGAGTCTTGTAAGAGGTATAAGAGTGCGTCACCTGAACAGATTTTCTTAGGGTGGCGAGTGGTGGGCCAGTGAACTGGGTATTCAGCCTACTTACAGCCGGCACTGAAGTTAGGCGATAGGTAGTGCCTGGAGATGGTGCAGCAACTACTGCATTGCCAGCTATACTATTCGGCGTAACTGCAGTACCAGTGGGAGTACCCGCAGTTGGAGCTGGACCTACCCTCAATAATTGATACTGTCCATTTTCTGTTTTTAATAATAGATGACCTTGAGTACCAGGTTGAAGGCCGTGAAGTGCCTGTAATGTTATCTAGAGAAAAAATCAAAAACACATTTATTAATTATTGTATTGTATGTCATATTTTATGATAAATAAATCAGAAGTTTTACATGCTACAAAGAGTTAAACGCATAAAATAAAATTCCACGATGCCTTTCATTTTCTATACGCTATATAACTAAAAAAAAATTTGTTTGCTATATTATTCATATTTATAAATATTAAAATATCTTACCCCTGGAGCCCCTGGTCTCGCTCCTACCAATTGCTGTCCAATAACCACTCTTGGAGTAACTTGTTTATTGGCTTGTTGTCCCGCCACTGGTGTCGCAGGACGCATTGTATTTACATTGAGAATTTGAACATTACTGGGTACTATCGTCGAAGTAACTCCAGCTTTGGCTTGCAATGCTGTGCTGACTGCATTGCCAGCCACAGAGACTGGAACGGACATTGGAACGGAAACCATGCCACCGGGTGCTACACTAGTTTTAATCACTAAAGCTGCGCCTGTCGGCTTGTTCACTGCGGTCACTGTTTGGCTACCTGTCTGACTGACAGAACCGACATTGGAAACAACAACGTTCGATGTAGTCTGCAGTACCGGTTGCGAAGTTATACCTAAGGTACCGTTTGCTAGCTGCCCAACAGTTTGGGCAGGAAAGGTGAGCTTATTATTCGCATTTGCCACCCCTGTAGTAGCTATAACTTGTCCAACGCCGGGGTAGATGATCTTTACCGATTCGTGCGTCTTGGTCAAGCTCGGTATATGCGTGGCCTGATTGCTCGACACCTGGTTGGTGGTGGACACTTGATTAATATAGGCAGCAGGAGGTATTCCTGGCGGCTGTGTGTGCTGTTGCTGTTGTTGCGTGGTGATGACCTGCGGCGCCACTGCGTTCGAGGTAACCACGTTTACTGGCAGCAGAGTGCTGGTGGTGATGGGCTTAGTGACCTCTTGAGTCATTAGACTATTCACAGTGGTCACACCGCCGCCGTTCGAAACCCCATGTTTCTGCGGCTGTACCGCGGTGATGGTGCCCCCGTTGGAAATAGCGCTGTTCACCTGATGATTCTGTTGGCTGACCGACGCGGGACTCGCTTGATGGCCGGCCACGGTCGGCGTCGACGTTACAAGCTGCGTCTCGAGGGAGCCCACTATCGCGTTCACTGCGGATTCGTCGACATCCGTGCTTAGAGCTTCCTCTAAAAACTTAGCTGACGCCATTTTCTTCCAAGCTCCAACTGTAAACTGAATTGCGCGTGCGCCTGTCGCAAATTATTCCCATGGTGCACTGCCTCTCCCCCCCACTCCGCCCCACTTAGCGCAGCGAAAACCTGTACGCGGCGAGTTCTCTGTTTACCAGCGGATGGTATAACCGCCAAATTCTCGCCATCCTCGGGCACCGAGCTGCTCCCGAATACTCTCGACGGTCGTGTATTTCCGCTCGTGCGTCACCCCTCGCGATTTCGACGAGTCGCCCGAGATTACGCGTCCTTAACGCCACGAGACGCGTTATGGCTGTCGATAGCGCGCACACACGTCACCCGCCAAAATGGCCATCTTCGAACATGCAATCGACACGCCGCGTTCATGCGATTGATAAAAATCTATTATGATAATAATGCAGGCCTACGTAGTATTGTACGTCAGGTGGGGACGCAATTTTTTTTTCTCCTCGAGTCTCTTACTCCGGAACCACGTTTGATCAGACTTGTTTGTTACTTGAGAGCGCTCGAAAACAAGCATGCTCCGAAACCTGTGATCGCTCCTCTGCGGGTTCTGTGTGTTCTCAAATCCGAGATGATGGTTCCCCTTTAAAGGCTCTTGCACAAAGGATGCAACGTCGCACGATTGGCTGTTAAATAGACAAATTTTCGGGACTAAGAATCCTCTATTCGATGGAGGATAAATTTCGATGCAGAACTCTGATTGGTCAGTTGTGCTGGATATTCCTAGACCAATTGATGTAAGTGATTCAAACTTTCTAGCATGTAAAAAGCATCAACCATTTACAGTCGGACACATCATGTCTAAATTCATATATCGTGACTGATTTTGAAAATATTAGTGATGCGATATGACACGCATTTAGTAAAACACCGCTCATTGAGCGTTTAATGTTTAGTTTAAACGATTGTTTACATTTCATCTTCATTAATATCTTATATCAATGGATTGAACTACTAAGTATACATCTCTCTCTTCTGTCAATGAAAAAAATTTATTTTTTTACATTTATATGAGTGAAAGAGATATATCTTATTTTGTTTGGCATAACTTGCTATTTGCTAATGAAAAAAATGATTAACATACTTAGCTTCTTTTGTAATTTCAATATCTTTTCATATCATTAAATTTTCTTAATGCTATTTTTTATAAAAAATTTTATCTTGGCCAAAGAGAGATATATTTTCATTTCGCTTTTTATTTATTATATTTTTATTTATTATGTATATATATATTGAAAGATTCACCATTGAGAATTTTCTCTGTGATCTAAGTAAATTCAAACATCAGGAATATATATGTGTATTTTTGATGTTTAAATTTACTTAAATCACAGAGAATTCTTAATGGTGAAGCTTTCAATATATTGAAATATAAAATGATTGTTAACAATATAATAAGTTCATGAAATTCCAGAGTCAACTATTATGTAAACATATCAGAACTGTCTAAATGAGACAGCCGCATACAATTTAAAGGAAAAAAGTTTTAATATTTTCAAAAATCACTATCAGTTCTTCGTTTCTTCACAATAAATTTTCACACTGTCGTGTTAAGGATAAGGTGACCAATGCGGCCATGTCTGAATTTCACTATATAAAGCATCTCCAGGACTTAAAGTTTTCGAAATTTGTCGATGACCTAGTAATTTATAATTAGGCGCAATTTTACCAGTTTTGACACCAATTTCTATAATTTTTTGCGCGGCATGTATTTGTATTTTTGGTGGTTTAACCGTATTGAATGTGCCAATAAAAGAGATGCCAATGCTTTTGATGTTGTAATTGAAAGAATGAGCACCGACGTAATCCCAGCTTCTGCCAATGTATGCGAGACCATCGCCTCCGACGAGGAAGTTATAAGCGATGTCCGACCATTTTCTAGATTCGATGTGGAAAGTCTGAGCAAACCTCACATGCATTGTACATTCCGATTGCGTCTCGCAGAATTCCGTGGCGGTGTGACTGATAATTACATATGGTACTGGTAGCTTTAATTTTGTTAAAGTTTCTGAGGGCGGTTGCGCCCCCCATTCGTTCCTTTTGACAAAACGTACTGAAGTTGTATTTATTACACCTGAAAATTATAAAGCAATACACATATATAAAATATTCAAAATGTACTACATATATATAAAATATTAAAAATTTACTACATATACAAGTGAATTAAAAACTTGTTAATTTTGCACTGAATATCAAGAGTTATATATAATATTAATTAAATCTTGATATAGATCATAATGCACATTTTAAATCTGATACATTTTCGAGAATATGTTTTGCAACATTCAATTATACAATTAATTATTCTATAATTGCAAAAGCTAAAAACATATCTCTTAGATAAATGAATAAATATAATAAGTGCAAATATGAAGAATATAGAAGACAAATTAATTACAGACAAATTAATAACTTTATAAGAGCATAATACAATGATATTTATCTCGTGCGCTTGCAAATTTTCCAGATAGCAAATTACCCTCGAGCGATGAGTCTGGAATTTCCGGGAAAACTGGCGTAGGCGGTGCGTCCGTAGGACGAGCAATATGTACAATGGTGACCACTGTGGCAGTTAAAAATATTAAAGCTAGAACGCCCGACAAAACCGCACATCTCCACGTCCACAGCAACTGTGTCACTAAAATAATTATAAGAGTAAGATAATAGTTATAATATAATAAGGGTAATAATAATTATAAAATAATTATATTAAATACAACAGTAAGAGAGACCTATAAGCAACAAACATTAATTGTTACCTTTATTTAATTCGGTATTTTGTGGAAAAATAGGTCCATTGGTGGCTTCATCACCCTTATTCATCGATAAGTCTGAAAGATTGACGTCGGAAACGCTTGCCTCGAATTTTTTTACCTCCTGTATCGGAATGGGATTCGTATAAACGAACTGCTTTATGGTAACCGGACCCTTGTAGAAAGTCTTGTTACCCAGATGCACGTTCGTCGAGTTCTTCACGCATACATCGCCAAAGTTCGACGGATCAGCATTCGGGAGGACGACGTCGCCATTTGCGGTGGCGACCGCTTGATGTTGCTGAACGATAGTCGACGATACTGGCAGGTTCGTGATCCACTCACCGTCCTGCTCAACATCTGTTTCCTCTTCCTCTTCATCATCGTCGTCGTCTATGTCACTGCACTGCGTAGAGGAATCTCCAACGCTACCATTGCCCGGGACGACTACTGCGGTTTCCTTCGCCGACCTTGCAACCTCACCGTGAAACTTGTCGACCGCGTGTACTCTTTCGGCGGACACAACAGCACCGTTCGAGCAATCTTGTTCTTCCTTCTGATACTGATGATTATCGTCGGCCGTTTGCTGCTGCTGCTGTTGTACCAATGTCACCATGCCCATGCACTACATGGAGAACGCTTTTTTTTACATTGGGGACGTCAACGCGATGTAACAGGATGCGCTTCTACATCATTATTTTGAAAATACTCGCAATCTATATGCAAATATATATGTTTGTTTCAGAGTAAAATGATCATTATACATTGGCAACAATAAATTTGAACTTTATTTCTACCGATGAGAACCTAAGTACGTCGAATGAGGAATATGAATGTAAAATGAGTGTCCTTCAACTATAAGACAACTATAACGAATTGATTTTCTTGGTAAAGTATGTATAATTATAAACATCGATTATCTTAAACGATATGTAGTAGTTCACGATATATAGTTGAAATGCGCGTGAATTATTCGTACTCGTTATGATATATATTCGTGAGTATCGTTATAAATATATATCGTGATGGGAAATTTTTAATTAGATACGACTACTTTAAATTTACATTTGTAATTTCAACAAGTAACTTTCTGCCATATTTTTTTTGACAAATTACGTTTCCATTACAGAAACAAGCTGCGGACAAAAATGAAGACATGTACAACACGCGTCACGTTTAGAACGTCATCATCATTAGTAAAATAAAAAAATGGGCTTTAATTGAAGCGCATCATTTGCGATTATTATCCATTAAATCGGTGCAACCGATCACACCCGCATTATTTGCTAAGTTAAGGCTGAGATTGACTCATACTCGAGATTACCTCACAGGCATCATCGTTCCTGTTGGTAGTGGTCACTTTGCCAACACCAAGTCCACCATCAATCTACAACATCCAAGGCACCGTCGATGTGGAAGATGCTTCGCGGAAAACTTCATTCGAGTCAATTCTGAATTCTCGACACGTCGAATCACTTGTTCTATTGGACAATTAAATTTCACGGGAACAAAGTACAATCCATGCAGCACGAACTCAGCTGGAACCAATCGTTATCTTCGTTGATCCTACGACACTGTCAGATAGATATTAGAGTGGACGATGACGCGATTGTTGAAGGACGACACGTCATGAAGAGACGGAATCGTGGAAATGCTCGTTCTCGCCAGAGTTGCAAAAATATAAAACAAAATAAAGAAAAGATACGCAAACTGGTATAGCGACTGTCCTTCGACAGCCTCGTGCAATGTCCTCGTTAATTCGAATAATAATGTGGATTTTCGTACCGATACGCGGATGATACCGCGATGTTCACAATGTCACGCGCAATCTGCGTCATTTGCGAATCGCACTGCGTACTTTACAACAAAATTACCGTAACACAAAGAGATGCTGTATATTATATATATAGATATGTAACGTTTGACGCCCGCTTTTATTTCCGAGAAAAATAGATATTTACCGCCACAAACCGATCTCATCAGCGCTGGCTGATCAGATTGTTGAGCGATGTTAAAATTCTAGCGTAATGGTGGCATCATCTCCGTTCGATATGACTCGTAACTTGTAACAGACTGCTATCGCACTGTCGAACATGCTCGGAAATTGCCGGCCCCACTCTCTGCCGCTTTCTCTCACAATCAACGGTGACTGTTAACGATATGATTCGCTCGCATCGTCTACATGATAACGCTGCTTTATGCGATTCTTGGGTTTTTTCACGGATTTTACACCAAATGAATCTGGGTTTTCTATCCGGATGTTCGATGATTTCTCTCAATGACACAAAAATATCTTTTATATTATTTTTGTTGTATAATTTTTTGACAATTAAAAGATATTTTTTGCGCGCGCAAAATTGTAAAACATACATTTTGCATGCAATTATATTCAAGTTACGAACAAATTACGACCACATTTTATATTTTCAAAAAATTTAAAGATGGAGGAAGAATACGGTATCACAAAAAAAAAAGAAATCCTTCATCTGCAAACTTGTATATTCAATTATACAATTATATCGTAAAACTATTTCACGCTAAATTTAATTATTTAATTTAATAAAAATAATTTTATTATTAAATAATTTAATCTAATTAAATTATTTAATAATAAAATTATATCTTCTTTAAGAAGAAAACACATTTTAATAAACAATCTTTCGTATTTTGCAGAAAAAATGCAGTAGCATGAACTTTAGATAACAAGATAACTTTAGACACGACTTTTTTCTAATTGTGAGTAAAATAAAATTCCAAATTAAAATAAATTTAGAGTGTTGAGATGTTAATGTAGACATCTTATTTCAGTATTTTGCTAAAAATATATTACATATTGGTAAATCATTGAACTTATACAAATATTCTACATCATAATAATTATAGCGAACCAACAATAAATGAACATGTATGCTTAAATACGCGCTTTATCAATAGTTTCGCAATATTTTGGAAAATTTATATATGTATATATATGATATAATGAAATACAATTATGCGCATACACACATATATAAGATGATAATTTCTACAGTCTCAATCGATATCTTTTTTTAATGCTACCGTATTAATACGATAGCTTTCATATCATATTTGATATCATATTGAGTTTAAATGCGTGGTCGCATCAATTTGAGTTGTATAAAATTACAAGATTCGGCTAAAATCAATATAATATGTACAACCAAATTTGCAAATAAAAACCAAATTGTAATTTTTGTTTTCAAAAAAATAGGAAATTGAGAAAAATATTTTTAAAATATAAAAATAAACAATATCTATTCTTTATGCAGACAAAAATACTGGATTTTTGAAAAATCTGAATCTAGAAAGAGAGATTTGGAAGGGAAATTGTTGAGAAAGGGTTAATAGTTGTTTGCAATTCAATTTGTTTAAATAAAGTCAAATAAATAACAAATTATTAATGATTAGATATTAATGATTAAATTAATGATTAGAGAGATTAAATTATTTTAATAAATTATTTAAGAAATTTAATATTACATCATTAAATCAATTATCGAGTTTTATTGAAAATAACACAGTGAAAATGATTCTTAGAATGTATAAGCAAGTGTAATATGTATATATGCAGCAGTAACAATATTCAGTTTGTCTTCTAAATATATTAAATGATTATTTTTTAATATCTAAATCTTCTTTGTCACAACAGGAGAGAAAAATTTCATATATTAATATCTTAATAATAAATAATGAATACATCCTGTCTGTCTCTCTTTCTAGCATTTAAACTGACTTTTGCAATAATAGTTCTGTATAACTATAATATGCATATTTTTTTACTATCAGCAACATTGCAATAATTTATAATTAAACAACTCGCGCAGTTCACATTAATTCTATAACTGTAATAGTAAGTAGGTTGTAGCCTTGTCTTTTCTTAAAATTATGCATCTAATTTCCTATTATATATTGTGAAATCACTATAGAATATGGTATGCAAAATTAATTTAATGCATCAAGTTTAAATGTTATCCCACTTGGTCCAACAATTTTTCCATGTTGACAAGTTGGTTAGATCTTTAGTTGGATAGATCTTTTAGATGTGATGTTCAATGTTAGACACTGTCATCTAGTGAATAGAAAAATACAATATCTTTGTTTTTAAAAGGTATTTTGGCGTCGCCAGTATATTATAAAAGTATTTTTTATAATAAATTAAATAATATGAAATGTAGCATCTCAGATACTGCTAGTAACTACATAATATGTATAAAATATATAAAATTATTCCTTTCTTACCATGATACCACCATTTTGTTTTTTTTGGATTCTTGTTGCAAGTTCTAACATACAATGTATTGTCAGATGGCCTTTTCTGTATAGAAAAGTATGTGTATGAGATTTGCTTATTATAGATGAATATTAAGGCTCACATATATATTATTTAGTAGCTAAGTTATACCTTCTCTGTACAACTGCTCAACATGGAAATAATACTCAGGCAAATGCTTTGCACGCTGAGAGCAGGAGACCAATCCTCCGTTAATATAGACAAACAAATATGACCATTGCTATAAACATGTGGATGTACAGGAATATTTCCACCAATAAAAGTCACTTCTGGTGAATCAAACGGATATTTAGAACTGAATTTAAATTGAAGCTGAAATTGTTCTCCTTCATACAGCGTGCCTTTAGCACCTTCCATATAAACAATCCATTGTGTCAAATTCTGTCCCACCATTTCTCCATCTACGTGTACACCTGGTGGTGGTTCGCGTATTAAAGACATCAATTCCTTTTGAAGTCTTCGCTAGGATATTAAATAAATTTATTTAACATTTTATATATAAATAATTTTAGAAAAATTACTTCGTTCAAAGATATATATATATATATATATATTTTTTTTTTTTTTAATATATATAATGCTTTGCATTCTTTCTGATAAATAATTAATTTTATTTTTCAAACTTACATTATTATTTTAAAATATTTAAATAGTTCTAATAGTTATAAAAAATAATTATAAATAATCTAAATTATATAAATAATATAGTTGGACAAAAGAAAATAAATATAATAAAAATTAATTAATTTGTGAATCAAGTGATAATTAAATAAGTAATGAAAAATTTTACCAAATTTGTATTAAAAGTTATACATATTTAAAAATAATTATATTTTTTGAGAATATAACATTTTTTATTAACAATCATACATCTCTTACTCTCAATGAAAATATAATCGATAATTCGAGTTTGCTGATCACATAATTTTTGATAAAAAGCATATACGAGTATTTCGTCAATAAAATCATACATTTTACATTTCACAACGTCCATTACAGAACTATGCTCAGTTGTTCGCGTTGGGAAAGAGAGAAGGATTAAAAATTGAAATCCTTTTAATATTTTTTTTCCCCCAATTACAGATTAAATATTCTCGGCAAATCGACGACATGCTGCCCCGATCGTTTCGAGATTCACGAAGAGACCGTAAAAAAATGAAAGCGGACGTACCTTTGACGGGGACGTTGCTGCCATTGTCGTTAAACAGCTCTCCATCGAAATACATAACCGTAGCTTATCGCGACGCGATCGTTCGATTGTCGCGCGTACTTTTCTTTCCTAGAAAGAAGTGCGTCCGCCTCGAAAGATCGGGCGAACTCACATTTTCCTCGCGGTCTCGCCTTTTATCCTCGCGGTCAAGGTGAAAGGGCGACTATAGAGGAGAACGACGAGCGAGGGCGACGACAGCTTCGCTGGAAACGCTATGACAGCGTTGACAGCTTCGCGCAAGACGGCCAGTCGCGAGGTGCGAGGCGCCCGATCGTCACATGTATACATGTGTATGAATGTACATACACATACATACACGCGGCATACGATACACGTATATCAATGATATTTCTATGGCGATAAGAATATGATACTAGCCGCGCGATGAGATAAGTTATTATCCGATCGTTCTCGTTGTGTAAACTCGATATCCGAATCAGTGAAATAATTCTGCGAAATTCAACAGCAGATAGCTAAATGTAAATAAAATCACGCAGTGATATGGGTATTAGTACTCTGATTTTTTTCTTGAAATATTATCAAAGCGCATATGGTACACTCGTGAAAATTACTCGGACGATTTGCGGCATTTTTCCGCGAGGCAGAAGCGAAGAATTTAATAGCTGGATGGAAAACCGGTGTTGTTCTTCTAATGAAATATGAAAAAAAAAAAAAATTATGTGTGGACAATTTGGACTTGAAAAAAAAATATCTATGCGCACTCTGCTTTAACCGATGTTGGTAATCTTGAGTTAAGGTGAGTTTTTAATTTGAGAATTGCGTTTAAATCCTAGTGACATTAAGCGCGTACGCGCGAATAGCGAGTGCGATCCACAATTATCCTTGCTTGTTTATGGTTATGGATAAAAAATATTTTTACGGATGACGTTTGTACGGCGAAATTGGCGGAGAAACGTTGCGTTGCGGTTATTATTACACGGCTGACGTGCACGGATTCTGCGTACACGATATCGGCGGACGGATTGTGCAATGGAGAGCATATTCCACGAAAAGGTAAACACGTCGATGTGCGATGTAATTAATTGGACGTTCTCTCCGCGGAAGGGACGGGATCGCGCTCACGTTCTCTGGCAAATGTTTCGCAGCAAGAGGGATATCTGTGCGCCCAGCATTGCCTGAACGCGCTTCTACAGGGTCCCTACTTTAACGCCGTGGATCTGGCGAGTTTCGGTCATCAGATGGACGAGGAGGAGAGAATCCGGATGGCCGAGTCGGGCGTCGACAGTGAGGATTATAAACTATTTCTAGAGGTAAAAGCGAGAGAAATTTTTGTTCTTTCTTTTTTTTCACGTGTCACGTACAGTACTCGCAGTACAAATAAGAGCAACTATAAGTTAGCGAGAGAAGAGAGATTCTTTTCCTTCAAAATTTTCTTAATGTTGATATAAATGCTTGACATTGTTAACAGCTTGACAGCTGTTGTCATCCCCCAAGAGCCAAGCGAATATGTTTGATAACAATAGCAAATTGCTTCTTGTGTGTGTTTAGCAACCATCGGGAAACATGGACGACAGTGGATACTTTTCAGTTCAAGTTATTAGCAGTGCTTTGAAAGTTTGGGGTTTAGAATTGATTCCATACAACAGCACAGAATCGACAGCTTTACTGGCACAGAATGATCCTTCGTAAGTTATTGATAATTTGTTCTCCTTGTGTTTTGTTTTTAAATATTTTGTTCTATTGCACTTGCGAAAAAGCATTCTTTTCAAATATTTCTTAGTGTAATTACAATAATGAAGTAATAAATATATAAATGAATGCATTATGAATAATAATACTTATGTGGACATGATATTTGGACATATTGTTCAAAAAATATAATTAATAACTTCATTATGCTTTGAAGTAATACATGAAATAATATAATTTTCAGTCGGATGAGAGCATATATTTGTAACTATAAAGGACATTGGTTTACGATAAGAAAGCTTGGAAACCAGTGGTTCAATTTAAATTCAATGCTCAGTGGGCCACAACTTATATCGGACACTTATCTCGCAATGTATCTAGCTCAATTGTTGCAAGAAGGTAAATATAAAACAAAATAATAATAAATATATCATGCTAATTTACTACTCTCTTTTGCTTGTAGGTTATTCTATCTTTATTGTTATTGGTACACTTCCACAATGCCCTGCCGAAGATGTTCTTCTAAAAAATCCTATAGTTGCCACAAAAAGTAATCTAAACCCGGAATCAAAGAATACATCCAAAGGTTATCGTTTAGGTAGCAAAGTGGAAGATGATATCTTGAAAGCTGCACTTGCGATGGGAGAGGTAAAGGTTCCACAGACGTCGTGTACAACTAGAAGTGCATCCTCGCTTTCGCATAAATCTGAGTTACCCACGGATAAACTTCGCGAAAGGATAATTCCTATAAGAGTCGAGGGTAGAGAAGAGGAAAGCGAAGAGGAGGAAGAGGAAGAGGAGGAGGACGAGAATGTGCAATTAGCAAGGGCTTTGCAGATGAGCTTGCAAAATGACGAGGATGATGTAGATAAGAGCTTGAAGTTAAGATTAGATCTTCACACTGATGATAAAACGACGCATTTAACAAATTCTACAAATGATGCGGACGAAGATGACGAGCTGAGACGAGCATTACAATTGAGCCTCGAATGCGTGACTGCCCCACCAACACCTGATCCTGAAGACGTTCGCTGGCGTCGATTGAATCATTTTGGCATATACACGAGAACGCCAAACAGCGAGCCTTCGGCAAAATTAAATACTTAACAATAAGCATAAATTTCCTGCACAAAATGTCTTACTATTACTAAAGGGATGCGTTGTAAATTATATGATTGAGTAGTTGAATTCAAAAAGGTATGTGTGTGTGTGTGTGTGTGTATATGTATATATATATATATATATATATATATATATATATATATATATATATACACACGCACATACATATATATATATGTCACTTTGTATACTAATATTGTAATGATAAGAAAAGGAGAAAGAGAGAGAAAGAAAGAAGCGTCTTACTTTAAATGAAATCAACTAAAGCTATATTTTCGGTTCTCGAATGCAAGTTTTACCGACTGTCTTCTTTTCCCCTCTCAAATTTGTTATACTAATCCTTCTCGAAATAAAAACGTTTGAGCAAGGATTTTATTATTGTACTAATTAATTTTAAGCCGAACAATTTATATTCCGAGAGAGAAAAACCGACTATGCAATCGCAATATTTAAAGTACAATTATCTTTTCCCAACCGTATTGTATTATATATTTTCGGAGCACGTTTAAAGAGAAATGTTATTAAAAACCTAGAAACCTCTAAAATGTGCAGATTATTTACGGAGAAGAATTACTCTCGTGAAATCATATCAAACGGAGAAGAATTTCTCTCGAGAAATCATGCCAAAAATAGAAGAATTTCGTGAAATGTCAAAAAAAAAAAAAAAAAAAAAAATTCCAAATTCCCCATAAAGGTACGTTTTCATCACAAGTGCTACAATGTAAATGAGGGATTTGGGCCGTTCGTGCGTGCGGCCGCTCCTCCCTTGGATGTGTGTGAACGCTGAATGTTGACATTCAACATGGCGGCATGTCGTCAGTGCTGTGCTGTGTCGTGGTGAGTCTCGTAAAGCCATTTAATTGCCGTACAATTGCGAGCTTTGTGTAGCGGCGCGTGCGGCTCGGGTCTCCCGGCGATCCACGCTCCGATCCGGTCGTCGAGATCGAAGTCCACGAGACGCGAGAGGAATCGGGCCGCGATGGGGAATCACGCTCTCGCCCGCGGCGAGATAAGGCGCCTCGCGACCTCGTAAAAAAAATCAGAACCGATCCGCGGAAAACCGCGGACGAGCGCGCGATGCTCGTCTACTCCGAGACGGGAGGACTCCTCGGGGAGGGACGCGGACGGGGGGACTCGCGCGAACCGCCCGCGACGATCATCTGTCGCGTGTATCGCTGCCGCACGATCGCCCTTCTCCTTCGAATCTCGCAAACATTTCGTGTTATCGCGTATACGGTAATGTTAGCCGATAGTAACGCGATCGGAATCGGATAGCATGATAAATGTAAGGGTCCGAGGGTCGTGATCGTGATTCATGTATTCTGTGAGATCGCGTACCACGCGACACGTCCTGCAGTGTCGCGTTAGGTGCAATTTTCAGCAAACGTGTGAGGAACACTTAATGATAGAACCACGTTTCTCGCGGTACACCGAGTCAATGTCAAACTATCACACGATTAGGAAGAAAGCGCGTTTATTCCCGTAGAGAGCTATAAAGAAATGTAGTTATATTGTTCCTGTTATTTCTTAGATAATGTGGAAAGTTCTCTATCTTTCTGTTTGTGCAGAGATAAAATAAATATATTGTAAATATAAGATAATTATACACACACACACACTCGCATATATATATATATATATATATATATATATATATATATATATATAGTGTGTGTGTGTGTGTGTATATGTGTATATATATATATATATATATATATATATATATATTTACACTTATTTTATATGTACTATATGTTTATTTAATATTTAAAAAGTTTGTTCATTGAATTTTCATGCATATTTTTAGTAATTTTAAATTAATTTTTATCAATGAAATTGTTATACATGTATTACTACATTAGAAAGTGAAAAATCCATAAATATTATTTTTCTTTAATTAATATTTTTTACAGCATCTATAACAGTTTATAAAGATGTGATTTTACTTTGACTAATATTGTTTGCAAAATTTGTTTTTTTTTAATTTTATGTGCCAAATTTAATTAGAATTTGAAAATTTTTATAACACATTTATTCCATATAGAATTAATTGTATTACAAAATTAATGCTGTAAATATTTTGTATATTTTATTGAATACAGAAAGCTCGCAATCTTTGAATAAAAAACACTATACTTTAATATAATTTCTTGACTTTCATGTTTTTTCATATTGTTTTTTCTCTTTTTCTTGCAGCTTGTGTCATTGTTAGTTTAGGACACTTCTGAAACTAAGGCTCACTGTAAATTTCACATTTAAAAGCTGAAGAAGGAAACGCTATTATAGAAATATTGAAAGAGAACACAACCAGACTCAGCACGCATTGAAGACATCTGAGGATTTTCAAGTCAACATTTATCCTTTAAATCTCCTATGTTTTTGATTTACTTCTTTTATAAAGAATGACTGATGTTTAAAAAGAAACACAGTTGTTCTAGTGCACGCTAAATTGAGTATTTATCAAACAGTTGTTATAATATTCAAACATATACATATGGAAAGTATTGACAGTATATGGTGTGCTAAGGTTTTGTACTTGTATTAAGTCATAAATCAACATTAACTGCATCGTTCATTTGTATATTGTATACACAACAAGCTTTGTGAACAAGAAATAGGTGGGCTAATATAGTGACCGTGATTGCGATTGCGGCTGAGATTGTGCTGCTCTGCTTGGTTGATAGAACATCTTTATCTGCGTTTATAAGGAGTGCCAAGTTTGTGTCGAGCTACTGTGGTACTCTCCATTAAATAATTGATGATATATGTGTTAAAATACTTTTGAAGAGACCTCACTTTCACTTCCTGATCACAAAGGAGTCTGCATTTCTGCAGCATTTCAAAGAGCCACTTCCTCTTCATTAAGTTCTTGTAACATTATAATAGTGAACAAAGATATAAGGTACCAAGAACCGTTCTGTGATATCTATGTTAACACTTAAATAATTGAAAAAAAAAAGACTAAAAATTTCTAAATATAAGTATATATATGTATGTATATCATATATATATGTATGTATATATATATACATATATGTATATATATATATTGTGGTGAAACATAAGTGTGAACATAAGGGGAATTAAGTAATTGTTTCAAGAGAAGAAGAGCTAAATTATACGTAAATATTATACACTGTATTATAAATATAATACACTGCGTAAATTGAGAAGACAATGTCCAACAATCCTCAGTGGAAAACGTTCCAGCCGCCAATCATGAACTCTGACCCAGCAATACTTGACTACAAGTCTATGGCTATACCAAGTCCTAAAGCCATAACAGGATCTCATCAATCAACAACTACCAATTATCGTAATGGTACCAACTATAGTGGTGATCACTATATGGGTTCACCTCCTGAATGTGGCAAAAATTCTACTACTAATTATGGAAGTTATCCTGGCACACAATCGTCACCACGCAATGGCGCCACGAGATTTCCATTTGAATTTACGAGTATGGAAACAAATACCAGTTACACTAGTGAACCTGTCACCAATAATTCTACCTATCAGGATCAATCTGCAAATCAAGGAACACGGGAAACTGGCATAATTGAGAAATTATTAGTGAGTCTTGTCAATTGAACTGGATTATTTTTATAGAATATATATATATGATTAATTTTCACATAATTGAAACTTTTATTCAACAGCATTCTTATGGATTCATACAATGCTGCGAAAGACAGGCAAGACTGTTTTTTCATTTTAGCCAATTTAGTGGTAACATTGAACATTTGAAGATTGGAGATCCTGTGGAATTTGAAATGACTTACGATCGGCGAACAGGCAAGCCTATTGCAAGCACTGTTAGCAAAATTGCTCCAGTGGTTAGTATAATAATAACAAGTAAAAATATCATTAATAATAATAATATAACAAAAGAGTATGAAAAAGAAATTCATAAGAAATATAAAAATAAATGTATGTGTGTAAGAAATTTAAAACATAATATGAATATAATATATAACATAATTTGTTTAAGGCATTGGGTGATCAACGATGCATTGGTAATGTAACAACTGAATTACAAGCGAGTGGTGATTCACAAGGACGTATCAGTTACGAAAATCGTGGAGAATGTTTTTTTCTGCCATATACCAAAGATGATGTCGAAGGAAACGTAACTTTGCGTGCTGGCGACAAAGTTTCATTTCAGATTGCTACTAATCAACGGTATAATATATTAATATATTAATTCTTAGTAAAATATATGAAATATTATTGTACGTAATATTTCTCTTATGTGCAAATTGTAGAGGGAACTTGGGTGCATGTAATGTGAGATTGGAAAATCCAGCACATCCGGTTCGATACCGCGGAGTGGTGTGTTCGATGAAGGAAAATTTTGGTTTTATCGAACGTGCTGACGTAGTTAAAGAAATATTCTTCCACTTTAGCGAAGCTAAGTCTATGAAAGAAGAACTTAGGCTAGGAGATGATGTAGAATTTATAATACAAACTCGCAATGTAAGTGAAATGGAAATTGTCAAAACGATTTTTTGAAAGAAAAAAAAATTGCAGGCACATAAACATATACGCATTGCGATTAAAATAACAAATTTAATATTTTGCTGTTACAGGGAAAGGAGGTGGCTTGTAACATTACAAAGTTACCACCTGGTTCAATCATATTTGAAGAAGTCAGTAATGAAGTGGTGAAAGGACAAGTGTTGAAGCCTTTGGAAAGAGGCACTGCTGCTCGTCATCAAAATGATCCCTTACCTGGACGCATTCGATATAGAGACAGTAATCATTCTGAAGTGGAAGTACCATTCGGTGACAAAGATCAAAAAGGAGATTTTACTCTTAGGTAATAAATATGAGTTACTAAATGTGTACTTTTTTTTTCAATTTTATATATAAGTACATTTATTTTCTTATATATAATAACACATTTTTCTATATAGCTATAAGCTATCCATGTATTAGTGCAATTTAATTTTTTCAACAGGCATGGAGATTGGGTTCAATTTCGTATTGCAACAGACACTAGAGATCAACTTAAAAGAGCTACAGAAATAATGTTATTACCAGAATCTTTCACTGTGTCAGGAGAAAGACGGGAGCAAGGTGTTATACAATCTCTCAAAGATGGATTTGGCTTTATTCGTTGTGTAGAAAGAGAACCCAGACTTTTTTTTCATTTTAACGAAGTTCTTGATGTTGATAGAGAAATTAGTGTAGGAGATGAAGTTGAATTTACAGTTATACAAGTAAGTCATTACTGGTGATACTTAAAATTAATACTAAAAAAATTTTCTTGCTACAATTTAATTTTATCTATCTTTTATCTATCTTACTCATAATAATTATCTTCTTTTCTTTCTCACAAGGATCCTTCGTCATCATTCTCTAATACTCGACAAAGTGCTATTAGATTGAAACATTTGACAATGGGTACTGTATTGTTTCAAACTATTATAGAAAAAGATATATTAGGTACTGTAATACAAGACACAAATTCAATGGAACCTGGCCTCATTGGTTATGGTTCACAGAAGAGCATTATTTTCTTCTCTAAAGATTGCGACCCTAAACATATTCCAAAATTGGGCGATAAGGTAAGGTTGTAAAATTATTATATTAATTATATGAAGAGTTTTAATTCTTTTGTCTATTTTACTTTCTTCGTGCATCTTGTGTTAAAATTATCTACTTAATTTGTGTAGGTAATGTTCAATATTGTTCAAGTAAAACGAAATAAAGAGCTTGTTGCTGAGGACATATTTTTAGTAAATGCTGCTGGTGAAAAAATTCAAAATGTTAATAAAAAATCAAATGGACAAGTTTGTCAAGGTTTTATAGCTGCTCTTAAGGATGGATTTGGCTTTATTGAGACAGTAAATCATGATAGAGAAATATTTTTTCACTACAGGTAAGGCTGATGGCAGAGAACTAGATGTCTGTCGTAGTCGTGGACGTAAAGTAAGACAGAGAAAAACGTATGTCGTACAAGGCCATTGTCACAATGGCCTCGTACGACTTACGTTTTTCTCTGTCTTACTTTACGTCCACGATTACGACAGACGTCTAGTTCTCTGCCATCAGCCTAAAGATTGTACTTTGTATGTACTTCAATTTTTTTTTATAAAACAATGCATATATAAAACAATATTTAATTCGATTTTTATTCACAGTAACTTTGAAGGAGATGCTAATACGTTGGAATTAGGAGCTGATATCGAATGTACAATTAGCAGTTCGAATAATGGAAGAGGATCCGGAGGTTGTGTAGCTGCCGATCATGTTAAACTGGTGCCACGCGGAAGTATTCCGAGGCCTACGGCAGTCAGCGAGGTCTTAGATGGTACTGTGGTACGACCGTTACGAAGTGCAAATCCCGAGCAGTCTGAATACGCTGGTTTGATCAAAATTAATCCAACTAACGAAGACGAGGAAACGCCAGAATACGAATTCGGAATAATGGGACTTTCTAACAAGCGAGAGCTATTACAGGCTGGTGATCCTGTACAATTACAAGTTGATTCAGAAGGTCATGCTTGCAATATTGTAGCCGTCAGAAAAAAAAGAAGAGCAACCGTGGATGCGGTAAAAGGTCCATTCGGTTTTCTCGCCTACGAAGTAGATGAGGGTAAAAAGTTATTCTTCCATATAAGCGAGGTTCGAGATCACGCTACATTACAACCGGGTGATCAAGTGGAATTTGTTTTGGTTACTAATCAACGCACTGGCAAGTCGTCGGCGTGCAACGTGACTCGATTAAGGTAAATCGATGCAAAGAAAATATTTTGTTTTTTTTTAATGTTTCTTTCATACAAACACATCATAATGTATTTTTATTCACAAATTTTTAACAGCGATGCGGTCCAACAACGACCTGAGCGATTAATAAGCCGATTACGTACCATATCGTTGGAAGACACAGGCCCAAAATTAACTGTGGTCAGACAACCAAGAGGTCCCGATGGCACTCGCGGATTTAACCAGGAAAGATGCCAGCACATTCCTGGTGCCATAGAAGAGTAATGCGCTGTGAGACACTTATTATCCAAATTGTAATCTACAATTTGTTTTTAGTTCATACACTTCGATACCAAGATTACTATTGTAAGCATGGTCATAAACGTTTGCCAAAAAAAATTCAGACTAATGCGACAACAATAATTATAATGATAGTGATCTGGAATTGGATGATGAACGAGGGCCGGAATAATATAAAAGTAAAAAAAAAAAGAAAAAAAAGAACAACGACTCATTTTATCACCTCATAATGGGAAACGAAAGGCAGTTTGTCTTATTCTTAAGATAATATTAGAACTTCAATACGTAATTGGTTTATCTTTTTAATTTCCCATGTCTGAATTTACTACTAAGCTATACATATTCGATGTTACTTTTCTAAACATAATCGATAGTTTATAGGATTCATCGAAATTTTTGATTAGTATGTTTATTTTCATTCACGTTCGGTCGATATATCAATTCGTTTTGTTATTTGAGGAAATAACAAAGTATGAAAAATGTCCTACAGTACACTTAGATGTTGGGCTGCTGACAAGCTATTTGTATGCTCTAAAAGATATCTTTGTTTTTATAAAAAGTATATTCTTATAAATTAATACAATTTTCATTTGCATAACTTTTTTCAAGCTTGTTTAACTTATGTACTTTATACATGTGGTATACATATGCAATAAGTAAAAAAAAATAAATATTTGGGAAAAAAAATTATATGCAAATGCAAAAAGTATGTACGAAATTTTAATTGTAAAATTGAAAAAAGAAACAATCTATAGTTTCATTATTGGAATTAGTTGTATAATTTTATCATGTCAAGAGCGGTGTGCTTTGTTACATGAATTATGATACTGAGTGTCACTCTGTTAAACTAATATCTATGAATTTGGAAAAAAAGAAGTTATATGACTGGAGCTGTTTGTCTTTAGATAATATATATATATAAATATATTTATATTTATATACATTATACATGTGCATATGTATATGTGTATATAATATATATTTATATATATATTCAACATACATATTATTATAAGTTCCTCTAATCACGCAATCTCGTGTTGTAAAATCAAATTAGTATTACAAATTTTGTGGTCATACAACAATGGAAGTTACAAAAAATACCTATGTAAAGTATAAAAAATCACATTTTATAAGTTTTGCCACCTCTGAAATGGTAAGCGAGAGATACATGTGGCATTATTGTAGAGAGATATATGAAAGAAATAACGTATAAAATATAAGGTAAAGTACATAACACAAGCACGATACAAACTTGCGCTTGTTCCGAAACCCGTGGATCCAACACATCATGTGCATACATATTGTAAAATTATTGATGAATAAACAATGGAAGTATCGAAGAAATATATATATATATATATCTATACTTCGTATATATATATAAAATCTTAAAATTCTTTTAAGAAACTATAAAGTTACTTTATGGGATAATATTTTAATATTTTATTCACTTTCATATTCTATTTTGCTATCATATGTATTATACTTTTAATGTTTTAAAATTGCGCGATTACAAAAAGTATCGAGAATCAAGAATATATATGAATTTTCAAGTATCAAGAATATGTACGATATACAAAATATTAAATAAAACGGCATATCTGTTTTAATATTTATTATGTATGTACAAAGATGTGTAAATATGTCTTATGAGATGCATTTCTTTTTTTATACGTATGTATCATATTAAGACGAATTTGGATCAGGATGAAAGAATAAGAAAAAAAAACTTTCGAATTAAATTATAACGCATTCGTAAGGAAATTGTCCTTGGAAAAGTAAATTGTCCGCTCGTGGACAACCTGTAACATATAATTATTTATATTAATTTTCTCTTTTTTTCTCTTTATGCCATAATATTATTTGGAAAAAAACTCAAAAAATGCGAAAGTTTCTTAATATTAAATATCTAATTTTCTTTCTTTCGCCGAAATAAATCCTTTGCTTACTAATCTTATTCGATCACTTTGATTTCAATGTGTGCGAAGAGACACAATGTTCATTACGAATTACATTAATTAAATTGGCGAAAATGAAATCACTGTCATTGGAATTACTAACGTATTTCGCAGTAAGTGCCGTAGAATCCAGTTCCTTCGCAGCGGCATTTAAATCCGGGTTCCGATGATATTTGGGAACACAAGCCTTCGTTCTGACAAGGCTTTGTACGAGAACATTCGTCGCTACGTCCTCCTACGGGAAGAAGTTAAGTAATGCTCATACAAGACAATGAACTAGAATATGTGAGTACATATACATATACACATATATATATATATATATATATATATATATATATATATATATATATACTTTCTTTTCTCTTTCTTCTTCGTTAAATATGAAAAAATTTTTTAAAAAGCGTGTAAATAAATTGTCAACATGATTGTATGTGTACTACAGATTTAACAGATATTATACCTTTCAACGCTAGCTTGCAATCGTCATTGTTATTATATCTGTATTCAGATTTACAACCATAGCCGCAACTGCATTGTGCATTGTAGATGCGACATCCGTATCGCATTTGATCCAATTCGCATTCCTCGGACAATAGAACTGCTGCAAAAAGTTTGGCATTAATCGCTTGACATTAATTCGTATTGATCAAATTTAATGCTTCAGCTATTTGAACGAAGAGATATATCCATGATATTCTTCTTATTTCTATATTTATACAAAATATTCTGTGATATTCCTTTCTATTAGATTTTTCGATCGTATTAAGAGATATTTCCTTACATAAAAATATCAAATATATAATTTTCAAATATAATTAAATGATTAAAAAGAAAAAGCTTCTAAATCATAATAGAAAAAAGATAAATGAAAATATAATTTATTCTTCAGTTAATTTCACATAAACTGACTGATAATTTTAAATCTATTAATTATCACGTAAAAATAGACAATGAATTATTGAAGAGATGCGATAAACACATTTTTTCGATATTTTTTCTGAAAAAATTACTCAATGAAGCTGTGATAAAGTGGGCATTCTCAGTTTTGATACAGAAGAATAACGAAGTCTGTAAACGATATCTGTGTGTTACTTATGTATTTATTAATAACTGTTTTAATTAATAGACGCGAGTCTATATGCATCTGCGTTCTATATTTATTAATTTGTATTATTTTTAGATGAATGTACGACAGATGCAGCAGACGTATTTGGAGTTTATTTACCCCAGAAGGAGATAGAGAAGATGTGATACGGTAGCGGAGACAAATGTTTGTACCGGATGCAGTCGGCTGTCCATTTCCCACTTGTCTAAATTGATAAGTGTCTAAATTGATAATTGATAAGTGCACAAGAGGATACCGCGTGCGTGGGCTAATCGATTTTTAGATTCGTTTACTTTTATCATCACGCATTCGCTTGCATGAAGTTGCGATTCCTTTTTCCTCATTCAATGTGTGTGTGCAATATATTTCAGCGATTGCATTCTCTAATTTTGATTAATTTAAATAAACTTTGCGGGCGCGCAAATTCTTCGTAATCTTCGATTTATTCAAGGGTAATTGTTAATTACGAACGATACGATTTATTATAGAGTCATAATCAGAAAGGGGAGGCGTATGTAAGATTGTTCATCATTGAGAGCGCCATTCACTATCGTTATGACGGGTTTATCGTCTGATTATTCAAAAGTAAACTGAGAATGCGAATCGCACATTGTTGCTATTTATTACATGGAAAATTAATTTTACCGAGGGAATCTCGTAATATTTTTTAAAGTATTATATATCGTATTAAATTAATAAGGAAAAAAATTAGATATGTGCGCGTTTAGTGTTTAGTATAGAAATTAGTGTTTCTATAAGAAAAGTAGATAAAAATAAAAGAAAACTTTTTATAACTGTTAACTGTAGAAGACAATAATAAAAAAAGGAAAGTAATTTATCTAAGTGATTAATTAATTAATTAGCTAAAAAAAGATTTAAATGAAAATGTCGTTTCTTCAATATATCTCGGAATCTATTGAGACAAATCAGTTTTCATACTTGTTTTTTGATCAAACAATAAAAATATTGCAACACTTTGTATAATTTTAAAACAGTATAATCAATTATATATTAATAATCGCTATTTGTAATTGCCTGTAATTATATATTTAATCAGTTACTTGTCAAAATATCTGAAATTAAAAAAAAAAGTCTTTTTTAATCACTTAACGATAGTCTGCATATGTGAGGTATTTTTGTATGCAAAATTTATATAATTTTCACCGCTTGAATATTATAATACATCTTACCTATTGAGAGGAGCAGAGTCACCGTCAAACTCAATAGCATGATGTTCCCAGATGAGGGGAGATGGGAGAAACGTCAAGGAATATTGTGAACGGTGATAATCTAGAAGAACGGGGCTCTCGAAGGGGAAGATCGTCGACCGCTCGGGCGCCTGCTGATAGGCTTTCGTCGCGAGTCCGGTGTCAGAGGTCACACAGGCAGCTCTCACACAAAGGGAACACGAGGTCAGGGCGGTCCTCTCTTTGCGCGCGCGTTCTCTTGTCAGCGCTGCGAGGTATTATGAGGCTGCGCTGCAACGGTGGGAAGCGCTCCAGGACGATACAGCGGCCGAGTCGACCGAACCCGTCGACTCGTGGCAGCTAACTGTCGTGGATCGCTAATAACTAAAATGCGATCGCGCGGATGCTGTCCAAAGCATTGAGAAACTATGCGTGGGATGTAACTCGAATCACAATAATGCCCGACAGAGATTTATACGCATAAAATCGTGCAATAATATATTTTTTTAATTTTTAATCGTGAAACTAATTGATTCCGACAAACAGATAAGCGATAAATTTAATATATGGAATGACAAAATTGAGAAATTGTATAATAAAAGAAGAAAAATTGAACGTCTTTTCAGCTTTGCCAATATTTCGTTTTTTTATCTTGAAAATGTGTAGAGATAATTGAAGATGAATTAAGACGTTTAATAGATTAATTTACTTTGTCTTGTATACGCATAACATTTTCTGGCACGAGAAGTTACGTATGCGCGTTTGATGCTTTGATTTAGGAATATTGTAATATTGTTATTGCGATTTTCATTGAAAATTATGTAGGATTTATTTTCTGTAAATCTTAGAGAATTCAGCTTTTTTTATTCAATTCTGCCGTGAAATTATCGGTTCTTATAATGTGAAAAATGATATCTATTTTCACTGTAAAAAAACTGCATCTTGGTCAGATCTTTTTGGATTCAAGATGAAGAACAGATCTCGAACGCGTGCGGTCGTGGAAATAATTAATGTTTTGACGACACGTGCAAAACTATTGCATATGCATCACATAGCCAATGGAAAAGCTGTAGAAAAGTCCAAATTCAATTTTAGAAAGTTATTATTATTGATATTCTTATAAGTTATTATTGATACTCTTATCATTTCTCTTTCGTTTATACTCTTATTATATAAAATATGAAAATTAGCATTAAATAAAATAGTATATAATGATAATAATTAGCATCAAATAGGTCGTAATTGTTAAACTACATTATGTACAAATAATTAAGAGAATGAAAAAAAATTATTTAATTGTGCACATTTTCTCTTTCACGTATTCATTGAATGTTTGTTAATTATTGTTTTATTTTATTAAACAAAACATGTATAAAATGATGGTTCTCGCTATATTTAAAATGAAGAGAACATTAAAATTAAAAGCGTTTGTAAAGTTATTTCTATTTTCGAGTCTTGTATGTGAAATTCTTTTCTATAACGAGTGATTATCTCGAGTGAAATTCAAATTAACGGATTTGACGACATATCGTTGTAATAGGCTATCGCCTTTCAGAATTCGATAACATTTGACACTGACAGCTCTAAGTCCGGAAATTGATCAAATGTATGTCACGAAGATGAATTCGTAAAATTTGCTGTGATCTTGACAAGACAGTAAAATTCAATAAAAATTTTCACGAGATCAAGATCGATATGTCAAGAGTGCATCATGAGATAAAAATATGCAACTTACGATTATAATATCAAGGAGAAACAGACACCCACACGCGCGTGTATATATTTATTAATAATATTTATTTTGAAATAATTTATTATAAAACAGATTTTCGTTTTTTGGGTAGATTACAAAAAATTTAAAATATGTCTCGTTCACTTATTGTAGCTATATTTAGATAATATAATCGTATACCATTAAATATCTTACAATCTTAATATGAGATATCAGATAAAGAAGCACAATAAAGTTACTTTAACATAATGTATCAAATATTTTTTATATTTTTAGATTGCATTCCATGGCATATTGTAAAATCTAAAACATGACATTTTGTCTATCTTCAGAATATTCCAATGTAATATGTTTGATGTGTAATTAATTGACAATATTGAAATTATTAATAAAAATTACTAATTAAATTACTTTATGATACCTAGGAAACAAAAACATCCGCAAGTGGACTGCATTAGTTTTGTAAGTCTTTTTACTTTTATTCTATTTAAAGCTTAATTCAGATCCTATCATTTGTGTGGCGTATATTCCAAAGTCGGAAATATTTATATTCTGAAAAGGATATATTTTCAATAAAATTACAATATAATTTTATTCTGTTCAATGACAATTAATTAAAATACTATTAGTACTTTACATGAACGTTTGATCATGTTGTTCATGAATCATTGTTGCTCTTCGGGATTGAATCAGTCCTGATTGTCTATTATACAATTCTCTAACAAGGCTGTCTTTTTCTTGCTCAAGTAATGCTATTCGTTGGCTTTTTTTGCTAACTTCCTGTTTCATTATATAAAAAAAATAATCTAAATTAGCTTAATTACTTGGATTTCCTATGATACTTTAAAATTGTTATTATATATTACCTCGGTTAATCTATGATTTTGTTGTTTAAGTCGTGATAACATATCCTGTTGAAGTTGAGCCGAAGACGGAGTACTTAAAAAAGCGAGATTCATATGTAAAGGAAGTCCTCCACGCTCCCAGGTACTTATCAAAGCGGCTAGATGCCGATTTACTTCTAGGACTCGCGCACGTTGCAATTCTAAACGTTCCTGCTGTGCCTCTGTCCATTGCTCCTATTAAAAAACAAAGTGTATTGTATATACATTTGTATATACATTGCACAGTGTTTATAGGATATAAGATAATAAAAAATATATTTTTTTATACCACATGAGAGCCCATTCGTCCAAGATGTTTAATCTTCTCTTGCGTAGCAGAAATTTGTTTCAAGTACCATTCTCTAGCTTTGTCAACAGCAGTTAAACCTTGAAGTAATACATCTTTCTCTTGTTCAATCTGCTTCATTCTTTTCATCTAGAAACATAATATATTATGGAAATATATTTTTTTTTAAATATCAAAAAGACAGAGAGGTTCCCAACTATATATGTAAAAGAATATTAAATTCAAAATAATACAAGTTATAAATACATAGTTTACAATTTTTAAAAGATATGTGTAGTGTTAAAAGTATTAATCAGGCATACCCAGAACCAATCACCAAGTGTTAGTTGGGAGTCCTAGAGGAGAACATCTTTACCATATTGTAATCAATACCATTCTGCAACGTATGCCGCCTGGGCTCTCTGCGACGACCCGACAATTTTTTAGGTTGAATGCCAAGTTGATTAGTCTGTATATCGATGGCTTTACCATCACCCAGAACTCTGGCTGGTCTCAATAACGTCCTAGGATCCGGTCTATAATTTACAGCCTGCAACTGACGTTTTTCCTTCTCGTCATTCATCATGAGACCCATCTGCCAATTCTGCAGAGCAGTTCTAATCTCAGACTTGTCAAAATTACGCTCTGAACCCATCATTCTACCTTCTAACGCAGCACCTGTCCGCGGTGGCTTTGGTGGGCCATACACTTTATTGATCTTTGGTTCCCCAATGTTTCTTCCATCCATTAATTCTAACTGAGTATTCATGTCTTTGCGATTGGCCAGTAATTGCGGCATGCTGAGAGTACGTTGCTGAGATATGGCATTGTTGGGTCTTATCGTAGCGGTGTTGGGCGAGGTCCAAGCCGCCTTGTTCTGACTGTCAGGGATGAGTATCGGTGCGGACGGGGGCCTATTGGGCTGACCGTTATGCTTCTTAGAATCGGTCTCCGTCTGTATCTGCAGCAGACAGATCTTCAAACCCGCGCAGAATCTCTCGAACGACAACATGCCGCTCGGCGGCGTGACCTTCTTCAAGCTTTCGAGGATACCTTTAGGCAGGCCCTGCGTGCCATCGTCCTGCCATCGACCCTCGATGTCGGCGAACTTGACGAAACCGGTGTTCTGATCATCCATTATGTCGAACAACGTGCGCATCGCGTTGACGAAGTGCTTCGGCAACCCGTCCACGGTCGATGCCTGTATTTGTGCCATGTTTATTATTTCCGCCGAGATTTAATTTCGAAATCACGCGTTACCTTCCGGGTAACGGCAGAAACATCATTAACGGCACCTAGAAGTTACGAATATATCTTAGCTGCTCGATTATTCCTTACGGACGTACTTTATCATCCTTTTTTCTCCAGTGCATGTATCTTCCCGCACATTTATCGATAAATTGTCATTGGTTCCTCTGAATTGTTTAAATGCAGCAAAAAAGGTCTTTCTATTTCATTCTAAACTCAATTAAATTGTTTTTCCTCACAGATGAATCTCTTGCACAGCCATATGCAATCATACACCATCCACACCATAGCGTCACAAATATATAGTATAGTAGTGCTCTCTGTCGGCGCAACCAGAGAGAAAACTGAGAGATGTCATGACCCGCTTTTAAACGATCTCTGGAAGCGATACTCCCTCTATGAACATTGGAAACATGGACATGAACTACAAAGCCATATTATTAACCATTTATATATATAAATATATATAAATATTTAACGAATTAATCGAACGAATGCATTCATCTTTTCGTTTCGTATATACAAATATTTAATTCACTATTCGACTGATTGCATTCCGACTCGCTTTTTTATTCGATATATATAAATATTTAATTAATTAATCGAACGATTGCATTCCGATTCATCTTTTCGTTCGATATATATGTGTATAAGTATTTAATCAATTAATCGAACCATTACATTATGGTTCGCTTTTTCGTTCGGTATATATAAATATTTAACGAATTAATCGAACGATTGCATTCGGCTTGTCATTTTACTCGCCGCGTTACAGTGAATATCGCGCGAGAGAGGAGGGCAACATGCGCGGCGTCGTGCACGATTTCGATCATCCGCGCGCAGACGAAAAACGGCCAATTTATATCTCGACTTCCGGACGCGATAGCAATTTCGTTCTTTTTGCATAAAATTCTACACCATTTCGCGGCACTACCGTTTAAATCTCATTCCGATCGCCCGAGGAATGGCTGACTTACAGTGAACATCCGAAATCTGCTTCTTGGACTCACACTTAAGTGTAATATTTATATATAATATAATATTATATATATCGAATAAAAAAGCAAGTCGGAACGCAATCAGTCGAATAGTGAATTAAATATTTATATACATATACCAAACGAAAAGATGAATGCATTCGTTCGATTAATTCGTTAAATATTTATATATATAAATATTTAACGAATTAATCGAACGAATGCATATATAAAAAAATATTATATACATTCAATACATATTCACAAATATCTAAAAAAAATAATTTTCTTAATATCTTCGATATTAAACTTTAATAATATAAACTGTTTAGATAAATTTATATAAATAAAATTAATGAAATACAATTAATGAAATTACTCTTAAAACATAAATAAATATATAAATTTTATAAAAATTATTATCTAAATTAAAACTTTAAATACATAAATACACAAACATATATGTATAAGTAAATAAACATATAAATTTTATATAAAAATTATTATTTAAACTAAAACCTTAAATATATATATATAAGTATATAAATATATAAATTTTATAAAAATTATTATTTAAATTAAAACCATAAATATATAAATAAATGAATATATAAATTTTCTAGTATATTAATATAAATTAATAATATTAATAGTATAGTATATTAATAATATTATAAATTTACTAGTATATTTAAGTTTAGTAAACTAGTATATTTAAAACTATTATTTAAAAATTTTTTTAATTTTTTAAATTTTAGTAATAAATCTTTTTCTATAAATTCTACTCATTCTTTATTTATTTTAAATCTTTCAATTCCTATATTTAAAAATGACTTATAAATTCATAAATATACTAAATTTATTATCCATATTACTAAAAAAATAGGTTAATATATAAATTTGCATTTAAAATTTTTTATATACATAAAATTTCGTATTACATAAAAATACATATATTTCGTATTACATAAGTACATAAAATTTCGCAAAAAAATTCGTATTAGTATAAATATTATTGAGCGTAAACTATTTAATTTTCATCCTTATATAAATAAAATACCTATAAAAAACACTCAAAAAATATTGATCCCATAAAAATTCTTAATATTAATAATATAATTATTGAAATATTTATTAATCTGTTTTCCCTAATATTATTTAAACCTACATTTTCTGATTCTTTAAAAGATACATAATATATTAATCATATAATAGCCCCAACAATCCTCTACTTTTTGAAAGGAAAATTAAAAAATCTTAATGATCACCTAATAGCCCTAACAATCCTATTTCTCGATTAAGTGAAATTATTCGAGGAGAGCCTATCTCTAATCACGTATATTTTAATTACGTGCCCTAATTACATTCTCTAACCGCATGCCCTAACCGCATGAATAAATGTTCGACATTACGTACTATTGTACGTAAAGCTTTTCTTCAGGCCAGTGGAACTTACTTTTCGTTGATTCTGACCACTTTCTCGCTCGATCTCTAATCAGAGATCGAAAAAGGAGATAAACACTCCTTCTTTTGCCGATTAATTACCGGCAAATGAGCGTAAATATTTCACGCTCATCGTAACGATCGCTCGATTTTACGATCGTTTCTTAAATATTTGAATATAACTTTATTTTAACTCAAATAAAGCCAAATTACTACAAATTTCTATATACTATATTTTCTAATAAAATATAAAATTCATGTATGTGTATAACTTTTATAATATTACAAATTATTGAATTAATTAATCGTTTGGCTTTATTTTAAGTTAAAGTAAAATTTAAAAACAATATCTACAAACAAATTCTACAATGGATGAGCTATGAGAAATAAGAATAAAATAAGTGCGCGTCATAAGAATAAAGTAGTATCAAAAATTGATAAAAAGTAATATCAAAAATTGATAAAATTGTTAAAATTATTAATGCGTTAAAATTATTAATGCTCTTGACTTAATAAACTAGTCAAGTCTTTACAAAAAAAATTTTCTTTTCTTGATTTTCTTTTTTAAATTAATACTTCAATATATTTTCGCAATAGATGCAAAGCATTTCGAAAGAATTTATTAAAAGTTATTTAATTTAATCTATCCTAGCTCATCCATTTTAAGGCAACGGACTTACTCTACAATTCACAATTTACAATCTACAATCTACAATCTACAATCTACAATCTACAATCTACAATCTACAATCTACATCTACAATCTCTACGAATCCGTTACCTTAAAGTTAAATAAAAGTTTTTCTCACTCACCGACACTGATGCGCAACAGCGGAGTTATAATTATCAAAGCTACGTTGTCTGTAACATACAAATATAAAATTCATTTATATTAATGCTCACAAAATGCAATCAATATTTCAAAAAATTTTTATCGCGCGGAATTTTATATTCGATGTGTAAAATAATAAGCAGAGATAAACACGTGTGGAAAATTTTTATAAAATTTTAAAACTGTTTTTTAAAAAGTTTTATATAACTTTTATAAAAATTTTTCTCTCTAATTTTCTCTTTAATTTATTTAAATAATAAGATCGAATTATTATGCGTACGATTTATAACAATTGATTTACAAATAATAAATATTCACCATCAGGTTGCTCCGCCGATGTAAGATGCCTCTCCCAGGCCTCCTCCTCCTCTCATGTTATTGACGCGCGATACTTTCAACGGCACTCCCGCACTCACGAGCGATATTTTTATATCGCTATTTTCGTTATTTTACGCGCGATACTAAACGGCACTCCCGCACTACTTCGGTATTCGGATTAAAAATTTGGTCGCGCGATGTATATATTTAATATATATATACTTTCAACGACACTCCCGGTTTCGGTACGAGCGAAAATCTCATTTCATTTACGAGACTTAACTTTGAGCCAACAGGTCGGGAGTGCAACGATACAACGAACAAAGATTAGGCCCGAACCGGAAAGAAGACGAAACGATTGAGGAATAGAGGAAAATAAAGTTCACCAGCTCTTTTTCGCGCATAATTATCCTATCTCGTATCGAACCTGGACCCGCTAAGCATGATTTCAGGTGCTTCGCCCGGAACACGAAGTTTCCCGCAATGCAGGATATGGCTACACCAGGCTGGTAGACGGCAAAAGAAGAGGATACCCACATTTTTTAAATGCTAACATTCAGCAATTTAAAAAATGGGGAGGCAACCCCTTTTACCGAGCGAAAACCATGCTTAGGGGAATCCACTCGACTCCTCGACAGGGTTAACACACGCAGTGCGTGTGGCTGTAGGGTAGACGAGCAAAGAGAAGGGACCCATTGACGACCATTCCGAGCAATCGATCGAGTTCTAACTAATTCGGGCCGAATCATTTGACGAAGTACGAAGCACGAAGCGCGAGTGTACGTTGCATAAAAACGTGTGCAAACTCGAAACATCCCAGTTAGTTGGCATCGGAAGTAGAGACTCGTGACAATAAATGAAATTGGGATTTTATATGAAAAAGTCCAAAATTTCCGCGAAAACGCGACGACGCGAGAATACTACAACGCGAAAACGCGGTAACGAAACGCTTGCCGTCCGCGGCACGTTGACGGCACCGACGACGCGAAAGGGTACTTAGCTTCCCTTTCAAGCACCTTAAGATTTATCATAAATAGAAAAATTTAAGATAAATCTCAAGACACCATCCAAATACTAAGCCCTCCCACCGCGACAAGGTGTACCCCATGAGAGGGTTATATTATATATAATTTTATATATAATATAATATATACAATTGCAGCATTTATTTTGTAATATAGTATATAAATTTAAATTTGCATAACAAGACCGTAAAACAAAATCATTAGCACGGTATTGTTTATGTCGGATATTATGTTATTCATTGTTGAAATTCATTGTTGAAATTCATTATTAAAATATAATATAATTTGAAATGTAATACAACATAATTTAACAATCTTTTTTTTTTTTTTTTTTTTACGTGGGGAAAATGCTCCTTATGCACACCCCGACGGGACCTATTTAGCGATCCCGTCGGGGTAGTGTTGGGCTCTCCCCGCCGCCATTTTAACGGCAGGGACTACCAACTAAAAACCCCACGCGCCTTTCCTTAGTCTTCCAACGCGCAAGTCTCCGAACCATGTGCATAAGGAGCATTATATGGAGTAGCCCTAACAAACTACTATCCTATTATATGTTCATAATATTCACTATATTCAATATTATATACATTCAATATATATTCACAAATATCTGAAAAAAATAATTTTCTTAATATCTTCGATATTAAACTTTAATAATATAAGCTGTTTAGACAAATTTATATAAATAAAATTAATGGAATA